CCGTCCCATCATCATCATCAGCGGTCAGGCCTTCAGAGTTTCTGCCCCCACCCTCTGGAACTCCATCCCGGAGCCCCTCAGCCTCAACCTCGCCTCTCCCTCCACCCCCCACCCCCACCTCCCACCATCTCTCTCGCCTCCTTCAAGGTCCATCTCACGACCCTCCTCTTTGAGCTCATCTTCAGTCATCTTCCCACCCACGCCCGCCCGCTAACCCTCCTGCCTCCAGAACCGCAGCTCGGGTGCAAACCCTTCACTGTCCAGCGCCTTGGGAACATCCTCCCCATGTGAAAGGCGCTGCGTAAATGCAAGTTGCTATTGTCGTTGACGTCAAGTTGACTGTAAGCATCTTAAGAAACTGTCTCCCTCTTGCGGCAACACGAGCAACTGCACTGAGTGGCCAGATGAAGGCAGAGTGATTTCACGTGACGTTACTTGCTTTACCAGGCGGTCCTGGAATTTCCAGGAATTAAGGATTAATCACTGGCACGCTGCTGCAAGAGAGCGAGCGAGCGAGCGAGCGAGGGAATGAACCGGGAGAACAGTTGCAGGGAATTCTCCCGAATGAAAATTGGACGGTGATTCAGATTTATCCTGTTAGCATCAGCTTCTCGCTTGTTTCTGCCTGGAGACTCGACGCTCCAGGCTGCGTTTGAAACATCGAGGCCTCACGCGCTTGTCTCTTGATGCTGCGACTCACGGGCATCCAGCTGCCGTGTACATCCGTGCGCTAATGAACACATCAAACGTTTGTGGATTGGCTGCGTACTTTGTGGGCATAACGCGGCAACCAGTTTGCGCACAGAAAAGTCCCTCAAACAGTCACGGAGCAAGCGACCGATTTTATTTGTGGGGATTGCCAGCCAGGACAGCGGGAGGGAGAGAGAGAGAGAGACAGAGAGAAACTCTCTTCTCGTGAAACAACCCAACCTTATCAATACTCGCCTGAAGTGCTTTGAGACGCGGAAGGCATTTTTCTCTTTGACGAGCCGAAGGAAAGCTGCTTGGGTTTCCGTGAGCCAGATTTCAGATGGAGTGACTTTTCGTGCGGGAGAAAAAGAAGAAACCAAAGGGAAACAAATCCGCCCCCCCCCGCCACCCCCCCCCCACCCCCGAGGGTCCGTCCCATTACTTAATGTTTCGACAAAGAAACGAGAGAGTCGTGAATTGGCGATAGTTGGCCAGAAGACCCTGTGTGGGTGCAATTCCACCAAACACTTGCCCGATGCAACCAATGTGAAATGTTATTTAAAAAGGGAGCACTTTTCATTTGTCAATAGGGGAGTATATTTCCTGGTGGTATTTTGAGCACAAGTCACAGCTAGCTTCACATTTGTTATTCTTTCATTTGGCAATTGCTACTAAAGGCTCGATATCGCTGACAGATGAATCCCCGAGCTTCTGTTTCTCCTTTTATGGAGACTGTTTCATAGAATCATGGAATTATACGGCACAGAAGGAGGCCATTCGACTCATTGTGTCGGCGCCGGCCCTTTGAAAAGAGCTTTTCCAAATCAATCCCACTCCCCCGCTCTCTCCCCATAGCCCTGCAAACCTGTCCTCCCCAAATAATTATCTAACCGGTCAGTTTCACTGACCATTTCCCTTCCCTCGTTCCCTCTCCCACCCTCTCCCCTTCCTTCCCCCTCTCCCCCACCCCCACCCCACTGCCCTTCCCTCCCCCTCACCCCCACTAAACACAAAGCAGGAAAATTTATAATAATAATAAACCTTGGATTTGATACGGTACCTCATCATGTCATTCAGACGTCTAAAAGTGCTTCACAGAATATACAGTAAAGTGTAGTGACTGTGTACTTTGTGAGCGAAACATGGCAGCAAATTGCACACAGCTGTGTCCCACAAACGGACCGAGTGACCAATTTTGGTGGTAGGGGAGAGATTATTATTGCTCCCGGAAAGCGATCCGCCAATCGACTAACAACCGGGTTCCTACTTACTGCCGGGTAACCAGAGGTGTGCGGAGTAAGGAAACTTGTCTGAGGTTCTGCCCCGCCCAGGAAACAAACCCGATGATATAAAGATCAAACATCGAGGTGCCGAGGAATTTATCAACGAAGTGACCATACTGTTTGGCCAAGTTGCACAACAGCCAACAATATGTCTCAGTCACTGATTCCCTGACAGGGGTGGCTGAGGTTGGTAAAACCTGTTAATTATTAAAACCCAAGAATCAAAGGATACCCTGGTTTTGTGATGCAAATCAAAGGGAGCAATGTGCTCAACCACACCCAAGTGACTAGTCTTTTAGGAGCGTTAATTCCCTGACAGACTAACCACAGTTCCATCTCTCCTGTGACATTTTGCTTCTTCACACACACAAACAAGCTCAAGCATGCACTCGCTCCTGCTGCTACCAGCCAAGACACCGGAGAATCTATTAAACGTAATAAAAACTCAATTAGTTTTAGGGCGGAACTGTGGTGTCGGTTTGATTGCATTATGTTAAAGGGAAGGCCCTGCAAGCCTAGACTGAAGAGAGAGAGAGAGAGGAGCTGTGGTGGATAGGAGTGCAACCAGGGGACTGAGGGCGCTTTGTTGGCTGTCTATTTCGCCCACAAAGTATAGAGACGATTCACTGTAAGTGCTCCGGGACGCCCCTTCAAGGTCGCTATATAAATGCAAGTTGCTGTTGTTATATCCTGAGACGTCTCGAAGACGTGATAAGGCGCCGTATCAAATGCAAGGATTATTATTATTATTTTTGATTGGGATACGTGTGCCTCGTCTTTTTGAGATATTCCATAGAAACCATCACTAACACCACAATTGCTCCACCATTTCTCCGCGATCTATTACAACTTGACTAACCTGTCCGTTCCTCCTCTTTGCAGGCACTGGCCTGCTTCACGTCAAGCCCCCACCACCCTCCCCGCCACCCCCGCCCACCCTGCCTGCTCCGCTTTGCGTTTGATATAGAGCGCTTCACAGAATATATGGTAAAGTGGATTTGACCGTGTAATATAAGTGGATTTGACCGTGTATTTTGTGGGTGAAACGCGGCAGCCAATTGCGCACAGCAGTCAGTGTCCCACAAACAGTCGTGGACTGAGTGACCAATTTCCTTTTCTTGGAAGGATTATTACCTCCGGAAATCGTGTTCATACTTACTGCTGGGCAAACAGAGGCGTGAGCGTGCAGTGTGGAAACCTGCTAAAGGTTCTGCCTCGCCTGGGAACCAAACCCGGGTTCTCTTGTTCGCGAGGCGAGCGCTCTAACCGCTGAGCTACGAGACTCCACAAAAGATTGGAAGATTAAAAGGAATGAGTAAAACTGCAAATTGCCACCTTGACAAGAGACCTCATTTATTTTCTTTGTAAAGACTGAAGGCGGCATTGATTTCTATCGCTGTCGTCCGGCTCCAGCTTTTGTGTCAGACAGGTGAAGCCGGATGATGCATGGTTGAGGGGAAGAGACATTTTACCTGCAAACCAGGTGCGTGCTTTGACCACTTTGGATTAGATTTCCGACTAATGATTAGTCAGTGGGAGTGAGGGCCAACTGATACGACAGGCTATTGTATGAAGTTAGACGATAGCCGTCTAAGGTACGATTTAGGAACTTGGAGTCATTCTGAAATTTACTGTGAAAGAATGTGGGTTGGAGAACAGCCTTGTGTTCAGCCAAAATAACAGAGAGGGAATGCCCCCTAGGCTGCCGAGTTTATTGGAAAAAGGGACAAAAATCAAATCAGATCCATCCAAAGTGGCCATATTTCACGCGAGTGCGCCTCAAACTTCTGTTTTCTATGTTTGTGAAATGGAATTGACTTTATTTTCTAAACAAGGAGAAAGAATGTACAGATATATACTTATATCGGTCTTAAAATATTTTTTTCCTTCAGCCTGAGCCCACAAAATACACAGTCACTCCACTTTACAATATGCTCTGTGAAGTGCTTTGGGACGTCTCAATGCAGTGAAAAGGCACTATATCAAATGCAAGGATTATTAGAATTCTTCTTCTTATTAAATGGCTATAACACCGAAACCTTTATCTGACTGAATGACAGGTTAGCTGGTCTTTTGAAATAACGTCACGGGAACTTTTAGCATTTTATAAAGCCTTTGTCCTTTTCATACCAGTCATTCAGTGAGCGGGAGCGGGTTTGGAAATTGATGTAATGCAGTAAGATATTGTTAGCACTAGGGCCACAGGGGAAACAATTCTCTCTCCATCAAGTCTTATTACACCTGGGCAGAACACACTCTGAGTGGAGTTGTGTGTGTGTGCGGGTGCGTGTGGGAGGGAGGAGGGAAAAAACAATTTAACTAAACGCTTCCAGTATGAGTTTACAGTGCCAGATACCAGAGAGAGAGAGAGGGAGAGAGGGAACGAGAGAGAGATAGAGAAAGGAAGAGAGAGGTAACGCATGGCTACTGAAGACACTGATGCAGGAGAACGCCAACCAAATAACTTTTATGATGCATTTCCTAACTTTTAAGAACTTTTCTTTTGGTTAAAAACAAGGACTTGCGGGAACTTTTTTGAAACTGTCTTCGCTTTTCACTGTCAAACTCTTTGGAAACAATTTTCAGGGACAAAAAAAAAATCAACTTGATGTAGATTTCCTTCCCTCCCCTCCCCAAATAATGATCTTTTCTCTTTTCGTTCACAAACTTTTTTTATGGGAAATAATTAATGGATTGTGACATTTGGGTGGGAAAAAATTAAGGAGCAAATTTTTTAAAACTTACTTTTTTTTCAGGGGAAGAAAAAATTGGACGTCAACTTCGGAAACCTTTTTGAATTCCAATTCCTTGACGAGCAAATCTTCTCATTTTTTTTAAATAACTTTTTGTACAAGTTGGTTCTCCCTCTGTCTCTCTCTGTGTCTCTCTCTCTGTGTCTCTCTCTCTGTCTCTTTCTCTCTGTCTCTCTGTGTGTGTCTCTCTCTGTCCCTTTCTCCTCCTGTCGCTCTGTCTCTGTATCTCTCTCAGTGTCTCTCTCTCTGCGTCTCTCGCTTTGTGTGTCTGATCATGTCCAGTGGCTTGGGACTCCTCACCCCTCGCCCAGCCCGAAGGAGCGGCTGGTTGGCAAGTGTCCTCGCCCACCACTTGGGTTCAGAGACCGACACAGTGGACAATGAGGTGGTGGTGTTGGCCACAGGGATCGATCAATATCTACAGGAGATTTTCCACCATCTGAACTACGAAGGCGATGGATTCATCTCCAGCGAGGACTTCCTACTCTTGTGCTCGGTGCTGGGTTTGGAGGGTCAAAGCGATGAGATAGGACATGGACATGAACTTGGAGATGGACAAGCCACTGACTTGCCCAGGGAACTGGCTTTCAAAGACTTCCACGCCAGGCTGTGTGGTTATTTCTTCAAGAAATCGGGGCAGAATCCAGAAAGGTTACCCGTGGGTAAGGAGACGGAACACGTGGAAAGGCAGATCCAGCTGAGGTGTCCTCGCATCAGGAGGGGGAGGAGGAACTGTGTCCCCTTTGATCTGGCCAAGGCCTGGATGGAGAAGGAGATGGAGAGGCCCAGGGCCCGAGGGCAAAGGCAGAAACCTCAGCAACTCCTCAAACAGGAGGACAACCTGCATCCGTGCTCGGAGGAGCAGGGAGAGGACTGCCTGGCCAGGCTGGAGTTGGAGTTGGAGAACGCCAGCCTCAGAGAATTGGTGGAGGACCTTCGAGGTTCTCTGCAGAGCAGCGACGCTCGCTGCTTGGCACTTGAGGTTGCTTTGCGCAAGATCCACGGCGCCCATGATCCCCAAACTTGGCCCAGAAGGAGAGAGCAAAGGGCCGGAGGAGGGGAGGAAATCTCGTCGGCCAGACAGCAAACTAGAGGGTGTAAGAGCCTGCTCCGGGAGTTGGAGCTGATCCGGTCCTCTAGAGACGGGCAGATCAGCGAGGCCATGCGCTTCAACCAGCAGGTCGAGGAGGAGTTGAAGGAGACTCAGGGGCGGCTGCTGAAATGGGAGCAGTGGCTGAGGGAGATGAGGAGGAAGGCGGAGGAGGGGAGGCGAGCTCTGGTGATGGGGCTGGAGACAGTGAAGGACCTGGAGAGCAGAGCCAACCTGGTGCCTGACCTACGAAGCAAAGTCCTACAGCTGGAGCTGGAGCTCAATGGCTACAGGTCAGTGGGTCTCACAGAGGGCAATAATCCAGCCCAGGCGAGGGACCATCCATCCCCTCCATCCTGTCTGCCCTAGTGCTCTGGGGACACTACCCTGCGTGAGGGACACCATATAAATGAAGTTATAATAATAATAATCCTTGCATTTGATACAGCGCCTTATCACGTCGTTGAGCTGTCTCAAAGCGCTTCGCAGGATATATGGTAACGTGAATTGACTATGTGTTTTGTGGGCGAAACGCGGCAGCCAATTGCGCACAGCAGCGTCCCACAAACAGTCGTGGATTGAGTGACCAAATTATTCTTGTTGTTATTGCTGTGGTTCTCCACTTATCTGTAGTCCTTCCTGGTTCAACAGGGAACCCTGAGAAGTGCTTTGAGACATTGTCTCTGAGCCCTGAAAGGCGTTGTATCGAATTCAACGATTGTTATTATTAATTATTATTATTATTATTAGCTTCAGCTCTGAACGTTGACGGAGAGCGGTGTGGGTAGGGAGGAGGGACACCTCAAGGAATCTTGTCAGAGAGCTTAGCCCGTGACAGATTCCCGGGCGCTGGGTTACATCACCAGCAAGACCAGGCATCAGCAAATAATGTACCTTACAAGCTGACAAATCCTTTCCTGAATGCCTCCTATTTGAACAGTGCAGCTCATTGTGTTTGTTCATACCTGTGTTCGTGTGCTATTATTGCTGCAGCTTGTACAAACCGCACTCCGGCTGCGTTGAAGTTAATACCTGTTGGGTTTGTCTCATGTCTTAGACCCAAGGCGATTGACTCCCTCCGATGTTAACTCTTAACGTGTCACCTCGCTCGCTTTTTGCGACGTCTCGCAGACGTGACGCGGCGCTGAGTCAAATGCACGCAGTGTTATTATTTTTACATTGCTCTGTTATTTCGACGGGTTTGGCTTCGGTCAGCCACCCGGAAACCCATCACCGTTGCTCGAGAGTGTCCGAACCCAACTGAGAATACGTGTGGAAATTCCAGAGATAGGTTGTTGGAATGGAATGGAATGCGCTCTCTCTGCCCGGCCAGACGTGTCCTGCTTACGTAATTGGGGATGTTCTCCGAGACTCCGCCCGGGGTGAAGGCCGCTAAATAAATGCAAGTTGTTGTTGTCGCTAATTCGCTTGGAGCCAAGGAGACCCCTTGTGCATGTTGTGGGCGAGTCGATGCGAAGACGATAATGATGCTAAGAATGAGTTAACTATTGACGTGGTGTTCGAGCTAATCTGGGAACATAAGGCGCTGCTACCTTTCCCATCGCCGCGACCTGTCAAAGGGTCCCCATTGAGCTAATGTTTACCTGAGGCGAACCTCCTTCACCTCCTTCAAGACCCATCCCCATCCACAATCCCCTCCCCTCACTCCTCTATTCCTACCCCACCCCCTGCGCCCCCCAACCCTCTGGATTCCAACTCAACAGCTAAGATGCAAGCCCTTAACTGTCCAGCGCCTTGGGACATCCTACCAACGTGAAAGGCGCTTTATAAATGTAATTTGTTGTTGTTGTTACGGTGGCAAACAAGGCCCGTTATAATAATAATAATAATTCTTGCATTTCATACAGCGCCTTATCACATGGTCAAGACGTCTCAAAGCGCTTCACAGAATATACAGTAAACATACACTGACCTTATATTTTGTGGGCGAAATGCCAGAGAACCGCCCAAATCCTTTGCTGTTTATGAGCACAACAATAATAAACTTATATTCCTCCTTGCATTTGATACGGCGCCTTTCACGTCGGGAGGACGTCTCAAAATGCTCCACAGGATTCACTGTAGGGTGTAGTGACTGTGTGTTTTGCGGACGACCTTTCAATGTTCTCCTCGCTTTCATCATGCCCAGGTCACAAGGAGTTGGAGCTGACCAGGTTCCGGCTTTTCCGGGCTGTTCCCCGCTCCACCAGGAACGCTGTGGCTCCTACCCCCAACCATCCCGGAGAATCCCAGCTGGGAAAGCCAACCCCTCCTCGGAGAGCAGTAAGTATCGGAGCCTGGGAAAGACAGAAAGCTCTTCCAAAACCTCCCAGATACTTTGTGCGAATCCACCAAGGCTGACACTCATCGCCTATTGCATTGCACTACATGAGATTAAACGTCCACCGTGGTTCATATCACGTGAGTGACGCTGCTTAAATCGCTCGCTGTGCATCCTGTGAAGCGCTTTGAGACGTCCTACCCACACGAAGGCTTTGTGTGTCAGCCTGGCGCAGTGGGTAACACTCTCGCCTCTGAGCCAGAAGGTTGTGGGTTCACACAGTCTAAGCTGACACTCCAACGCCTTGTCGGAGGTGCCGTCCTTCAGACGAGACGTTAACCGAGGTCCCGGCTTCCTGTTTGGGTGAACGCTAAAGATCCTGCAGCGCTATTGGGAAAGAGAAGGAAGTTTCTCTCCTCCAGGGGTCCTGGCCAACAATCCCCTCAAATAAAATCAGCAAACAAGCTTGCTGTGTGGTGGGACACGGCTGTGTGGATAAACTCCCCCCACCCCCCCCACTTCACAGTGTATCCTGTCAAGCGCTGTGAGACGTTTCATTAACATGATAAGACGCTGCGTCAAATGCCAGGCTTACTGTTGCGTAAAGTATCAATGGTACCAAGCTTCCCCCCCAACTCTCCCTCACCCCCACCGTCCCCCCCCACACAGGTGTGGAACATTTGCTGAGAGCTGTGGAGGGCCGTGCAGCATCTGATGAGGAAGAGGAGGAGGAGGAAAGGTGCACAGAGGAGCAGAGTCATCAGGCCACGGAGCTCAGGAGAGTCCTGCACCCGGCCAGCTGCTGTGAGGAAGGGTGAGTCAGGGTCTCACTTGCCCAGCTGTGGGGACGGAACACCTCCGAGCCCTAATAAGAGTGGATCCCCGTAGCGTAGCGATTAGAGAGCTCGCCTCACAAGCGAGAGGACCCGGGTTTGATTCCCGGCCGGGCGGGGGTGTAACTACGGGCAAGTTTCCTCTACGCGCCCACCTCTGTGTACCCTGCGGTAAGTAGGAACCCGGTCGTTCGTCGATTGGCGGATCGCTTTCTAGGGTAATGACCCCTTAAAAAAAATGTTGGTCATTCGACCCACGACTGTTTGTGGGACACTTGGCTGCCGCGTTTCGCCACGAGATACACGGTCGATCCACTTTGCAGCGTATTCTGTCCGAGCGCTTTGAGACGTCCCAAGGACGTGACGAGGCGCTGTATCAAACTCAGGGATTATTATTGTTATTATTATGTAAAACAAATCGGTATCTAATTCGCTCGTGTTCACAATAAAACTTACTGCAACGCTGGAGCTCGGCAAAACCGTGGACAGACGCAGCTGGCAAAGCGCCGGGCAGATGACTGACCAGCCTGTCCGCCTGTCAATCACAGGCTTAGCAAGTGTCAAACTGCGGGAGCTTCATTTTAAATGATCCGCCCTCTGTACCCGACCAGGTGCCAGAGCCACGGCATCCGGCAGATCCTGTCTTGCAACTGCTGCTGGCGTGGCAATGCGGACGTCTCCTCCGCGAGGGAAGAGAGGAGGAAACTCGCAGCCGAGCTCAAGGCAAGGGACGGACGAGCGCAGGAGCTGGAGAGTGAGATAGAGAAGGTGCCAATGGGGAATCACTCTCAACAACAACAACAACAACAAAATTACATTTATACAGCGCCTTTCACGTCGGGAGGACGTCCCAAGGCGCTGAAGATCTGTCGGGAGATCTTCTTAAGCACACGAATGGTTTCATTTGGTCAGACTCCAGCAGCTAAACCAACACACACTCTCGGCTCCTCCAAGCCTTGGCTCTCACCAGGCCTGAGCTTAATACTTTCCGGGATTAGGTAAGCAGGGTGCGTCCCTCTGGGTAGAGAGAGAGAGAGATCCCAGCATTCCAGACGCAGGGAAATCTCCACACGTACGCAGAACTATCAGTCAGCTTTGAATACTCTTAAACACGCCACTGGGTTTAAGTGTGTGTTGGATGCCCGGCTTTACCCCCTTACAAAAGAGTACAAAACCTTTTTCAACTGGTGTGAACGGAGACAATAAACGTTGTCTCTCTCTCTCAAGCTGAGATCGCTGATCGGGTAGACCTTGAGGTTTGTTTTTGTTTTGCACGCGCAAAATTCCTGCTAACCTACCCGGTTGAAGACTTTAATCCATGGGAAGGGATCTTCCTCTTTAGCTCGTGGTGGTTTGAAGTTCTCCTTTCGTTGTTGTCTCGGCGGTGGTGGAGTTCTGCGGCTTCGTGGTTAGAGCGCTCGTCTCGCAAGGGAAAGGACCTGGGTTCGATTCCCGGACCGAGCGAAACTTTAGGGAAGTTTCCTTACTCCCACACACACACATACATACACAATCGCCTCTGCTTACCTGCAGTAAGTAGGTAATAACAGTTGTTAGTCGATTGGTGGGGTAATAATCCCTTCAAAAAAATATTACTAATAATAATCTGGTCACTCAATCCCACTGTTTGTGGGGACGCTGCTGTGCGCAATTGGCTGCCGCATTTCGCCCACAAAATACATACTCAATTCACTTGACAGTTTGATCTATGGAGAGCTTTGAGACGTCTCGAAGATGTGATGAGGCGCTGTATCAAATGTGAGGATTACTATTATTATTATTATTTCCTAGTTGACCTGCTCGATGGCCAAGGAGCTACAGCTAAAGGGGGAGGAGGTGGAGATGCTGCGGATGGAGCTGCAGATGGTGGAGACCGATCGGGTGCGACTCTCGTTGGTCGAAGAGAAACTGACCGATGTTCTCCAGCTGCTCCGACACCTCCAGGTCCTGGTAAATATTCCTCTCAATCTGCAACAGCGCAGGAAAAGGAGCCGCAGGTGTGGAGCGAACAGCCTGGACATATCGCGTCGGTGTAAAGAGAACTGAAAGTTCCTGTGTTCCTCAGACCTTTGCTATCTCAGAACGTAGGTCTCTCTCAGGCTCCTTGAATGTTGATCCCTTTATTTTATCCTGGGAGGGTGAAGGAAATTATTCTCTTCCCGTTTCCATTGCAGAACATTTCCAGACGGTCGCTGGGGAAGATTTTGCTGAACACCCTGAACGCCTGCTACGTGCCCGGACACGGTGAGTGATCGGCGGCTCGTCACGGAGACAGATCTCACCAGAAAACCGTTTGCTTAGTTTCAGTCGAACATTAAAGCTCGCCTAAGTCTGATCGGTATAAACCGTATAATCGCCCAAGGATTATTATTATTGTAATCCTTACATTTGATACAGCGCCTCTCACATCAGGAGGACATTAGTTTCCTGTACAGTGTAGTGACTGTATTTTGTAGGCCAGCGCTGCAGTTACTTTGCGCACAGCGACGTTCTACAAAGAGCTGCGATTTTGACTCCGACTTTCTGCCCCTACAGAGACATCGAGCTCCCTGGACGTGCTGAACTCTCTCAGCAAAGAGCTCCTCTCGTGCGAGTTACTGTCTGACATGACAGCGCAGAGAAAACAGCAGCAACTGGAAAACTCCCTGATCATATCGTGTTAGCAGAAAGAGAACTGTAAACCTCTGCACCTTGCTTCCATCCCTTATCCTGTTCTGGTCAGAAAGCCTTTGACTTTAAAATCTGTGCTCGCGGCGAAAAAAAGCAGCTCGAGCTGCAAAATATGCCCAGTCGAGCGTAACATATTAATAATATAAGAGTGCCTCATTGCATCATTGAGAAGTCTCAAACCGCTTCACCGCACATACTATAAAGTGCAGTGACTGGCTGCGTATTTTGTGGGAGAAATCGCAGCAGGCAATTTGCGCACCGCAACGTCCTACAAGCAGCCACGGAGTGAGTGACCGATTTTATTTGGAGAGATGGTTGACCAGGACAATGAGAGAGAGCGAGAGAGAGAGAGAGAGAGAGAGAGAGAAAGGAAGAAACTCCCTTCTCTTTTCGAATAGCGTCGCAGGCTTTTGAATGTCCCCCTGAACAGGCAGACGGGGAGTGAGGTTTAACGTCTGATCCGAAGGACATTGGCGGAATCTCTCAGCACACATCTTCTCAGCCTTAGCATCTTTTTATTCTCTACAGGTCCACAACGAGGGCATTTCGAAAAGGGTCAATTTAATGCGTTGATGTTAATAAAAACAAGGCGTAGCTCTGGGTGTGGAGCCCCGCGCTTTGTGCTGAATTGTATTCCTGCGAGATGGTACGAAATGCCGTTCGGGTTTCGTTCAGTATTCCTTTCAAGAACAAATTAGCGAGATTTCTGTTACGAAATAATATCTCAGGATGCAGTAGTATACTGTGTACAGTTTGGGACACGACGTGTGCAAAGCGACTGGCGGAAGGTGCACTGTATGGACCTGGGTCTATTTTTGCCGAGCAAACTGCTATGTTCTGTATTTATTGAAGCGTTTACAGTGTGGGATGTGCTCCATGGCTCAGTTGCTCTGTAACGCTGCTTTGGGGGGGGGTGGGGGGACGGGTGGGGGGGAGAGTTGCTATTGTCTGACGGTTGTTATTTGTTCAGCTTTGAGTACGTGTCGAAAGATCCTCTATATTTTAGCGAAATGCCCCAATTCGGGGGCACTTTCCCCTGCAACGTGTTGTTTTATTCTAAAAGATATATCACCCCCTTGTGGCCTCTAACAATCCATCACTACGGTATTCATTTGCGACTCTGTAATGCAATGCTCGGCCACTCCCCGGAGGGTGGGGGGGGGGGGGGGATATTATGGGACGGGATGTGGCAGGGATAAGATTGAGCGAATAAAAGTGGAACAGGAAAAAAAAAACCACACCAAATCGCTCGTGTCCCGTTAAGTGTTTGGGTTGATCTGACCGGCTGGCGGGGAGTGCACTATGTTACGTTTCATTCGCTTCAACCGCTGCAGTTGTTGTTTCACTGACAATGTTTCGCCTCAAATCATCTTTACTCCTGTGCCAACTCTGGTGAAATGTGCATCCTGCGCTCAAATCCCATTACATCCCAGGATTTAAAACATGCTGGAGCTTAGGAACATTGCGTATTAGACTCTTCCCGCCCCCCTCCCCAGCCCACACTCTCTCCTTTCCTTCTGCCCACCCAATTGTGAGTTACCCCTGGAAACAGCCCTCAACTAAGAACAAGTCAATGATAAACAAGGCCCAAGTGAGGGAACCTGCCAGCCGGGCTCCCTGGCTCCCCACGCTTTCTGCCCTCATGTTAAAAGTTCATTCGTGGCCAGGTTTTACAGAGGATTGACTTTCCCCAATCTTTTTTTCCCCTCCCTTGACAGATAAAGTACTTGACAGCTGTCAGCCGGCATGAAGGGGCTATGGTAATCACATCTGACATTTAGCAAGAACGCTAAAAAAAAATCCTTCAAAGCCAGAGAGAGAGAAATAGCACTCTCTAATCTGGCTCCGTCCATCTCCCTGTTAAAACCCTTTAATTTGGCTTTGCTCTGTTCTGACCATCACAATAAGCTGTTGACAAGATTACAGAAAAAAGCACTCGTCCTCTGAGATCCAGAATTCCACTCGCTCTTAGCAGCCCCGGTGTGGGACACATTTTTCGACTGAGAGTTTAAGTCCACCCACACTCGTGGAATAAGCTTAAATTTGGTCTTAAATTTATTTATTTTTTGTAAAAATTCTTGCATTTGATACGGCTCCTTTCACGCCGGGAGGACGTCTCAAAGCGCTTCACAGGGGTTACGGTGAAGTGTGGTGACTGCGTATTTGCCGGTGGACACGGCAGGCAATTCGATCACAGCGACGTCCCACAAACAGCCAACCAGTGAATGACCACAACCTCCTGACTCAGACGCAAGACTGTTACTGACCGACAAGTTAGAACTCAATTTAAGACATTTTCCACCATTCTGCCTAAGATCTTAAGGCTGAGAGCATGAGGGAATTTGGGCCTGAGATGTCCTTTGCCGTGAGCTTCAGTGCTCAAAGAAAGATTTGTCGGTTAACACTGGAGATTACTGTCTGTAGATCCATGAGATAAAGGTTCTCGCTTCTCAGTTTCTAATGGAATTTGGCTCTGCCTCACTGAGCTCAATGTGGCTGAGATGGGTTGTGAAGTCCTGGATTCCCATCTCTCCCAGTATGAAGAGGAATCCGGAGTGAGTGAGTCAAGGCCGGTTGAGACACAACAGGGTGAGTCAACTGCAACTCACGGGCCTCAGATGAATTAATGGTTGAGCACAGCTGTTGAGCTGAGACTTATATAACCATAATAACATGGAACATGAAAGGCTGTCAGAAAGTCCAGCTCATCCCTTCAAACGCCTTGTGTGCAATTCACTTTGTCACAGCTTCTCCACAACTCATTTCACCCCCTTAAGGAATGAACGACATTCACAGGTGAAGCACTTGAGAAAGAAAAGCACAGTCAACAACACTCACGCTGCTGAATAAAACCTGAGTTAGAAGCTTGTGGGTTCGAGCCCCATGTCAAGACTTTGAACTCATATAGTCTAAACTGGGTCTCCAATGCAGTAATGGGGGAACCCTACATTGTTGGACCTGTTGAAGTGGACGTTAAAGATTCTCTGACACGATTCGAAAGGAGACCAGAATTTTTCCCGGTGTCCTGGTCAACAATCTCCCAGATAAAATTGGCCATTTTAGAGTTGGGGGAAGTCTAGCGAGCAGAGTGTTAGCGAAGTCAAGCCCGGACCTGATAAAAGCGCAGATGAGAGTCTCGGCAGCCCGAGAGGAGAAATCGTGGTGAAGGCGGCAATATTGCGGAGGTGAGGGAAGCTGAACGGGTCATGGCACGGACGTGGACAGTTGACGGTCGAACGAGACTTGAAGGTTCTGCACTGGATTGAACAACCGTAATATGGTGGGAAAATCCGAAACTTGCGACTTCTAAAACAAATCGACACTTCGGATTGATATATATATATATATCTTGTTTATTTAAAGTGTAGCCGCATCAATGATCTGATTTATAACCTTTACCGTGCCCTTGCTTCTAATTGGATTTCTCTGATCAGTCGGTGGATCAAAACTCTTCAATCCCAACTAAGAAATTAGGTTAGAGGAGGGACGATTAAGGTGGAAAGTAAAGAGAGAGAGAAAGAGACAGTGCACAGTGGCAGAGGTGTGGAGCCAGGCTCGAGTGTAGACGAGAACCTCTTGATAAGGGCTGAGCCACCTTCTTGTTATTTTTCCAGGTTGACCTGGTTCTCACCTATTTCATGTTGGAAGTGGAGGAAGATCCGGAAATGGGAAGCGGAGCCAGCGCAGAAGACAAGGAGTCGGCTAAAAGGTCAAAGGAATTGGAGAAGAAGCTTCAGGAGGACGCTGAGAAAGATGCCAGAACTGTGAAGCTACTACTTCTAGGTAAACGTGATCAGAGTTATGGCAACAACAATAATAATAATCCTACATAGATTTGATGTAACGCCTTTCACATTGGGGAAGACCTCTATAAGCGCTTCATAGGATATACTATAAAGTTACATCTGTGTATTTTGTGGGTGTACACAACAGCCGATTTGCACACTCCAATATCCCACAAATCATAATAATAATAATAATCCTCGCATTTGATATGGCGCCTCATCAAGTCATTGAGATGTCTCAAAGCGCTTCATAAAATATACTATAAAGTGAATCGACTGTATATTTTGTGGAATTATTACCCCCAGAAAGTGATCCACCAATCAACTAACAACCAGGTTCCTATTTACTGCAAGGTAAACAGAGGCGTGTGGAGGAAGGAAACTTGCCGAGGATTTTGCACAAACAGCCACAAAGTAAATGACCAATTGTACCTGGGGTGGGGGAATTGTTGGCTAAAACACGGGGAGAGAGAAACTTGCTTCTCTTAACAAAATAGCACCACAGGATCTTTAACGTCCACCTGAATAGGTGCAGACAGGACCCAGGTTCCATTCCCTCAGCAGACCTTATTGTAGTTCCTGTGATACTTTGAGACAGTTTGGCGTATGTTACCTATAAAGATGTGCAGCCGAGTGTTAATCAGTCAAACATGACATAGGATGAAGAGGAAAATATGGGTGTCATTTATTGTCAATTAATCTCCCAACTCACAGTGAACCAATCAACTTATAACAACCACAACATACCTGGGGTCGGGGTCTCGAGCGCTCTGGGACGCTACCCGGCGTGAGAGGCGCTATATAAATGCAAGTTGTTGTTGTTGCTGTTGTGGTTTGAGCGGAGCTTGCTCTGAGCTGTTTTAAAGGGTTACCGATGTTTGCGTTGCCATGACTAACACATGCGGTTGGTCTACAGTGGGGTGAGAAAAGAAGATCAGCCATAGATAAATACCATCTCCGTCATTTGCTAAGCATTTTTGCTCCGCCACGCTGATCATTGTTGGTGCTTAAGAGTCCAATTCTTTGATGGGTGTCTGTCGCTGCTACAGGTTATGCTCTTGAGTCGCCTTTATTTGCGTTTCATCAGAGTAGGAGAATCGTTTTGTGAAAGCGCTTGGTGAGATGTGCATCTGAGTGTTAGAGTCCTTGTCGGTGAGACGTTAAACTGAGGCCCTTCTGTTTTTACAGGCGTGTGTTAAACATCCCGCCTGCCTGTTCAGCTGGACATTAACAAGCCCATGACGCTAGTGGAAAAGAGGAAGGAGTTTTTCTCATTTTCCTGGGCAAAAATCCTTCAGATAAATTGGTCCGAGGTCATGTAACAATACAGTGTGTAAAATTGCCTGCGAAATACAAAATCACGGTGCTTGACAGTAATTTGATACGTTTTGACGTCATTAGCGTTGCATCAAATGCAAGGATTATTACATGTTGGCTGGACGTGAGCCAATAGCAAAACCCAGGGGGAGCTTGTTTAAACATGCGGCGTCTCAGAAATAATTCATTCCGTGGGGGAAAACTGGTATCTTTCAGTTAGTATAGCGGTCTCCAGACGATACTATTGTGGTATCTGTCACTCAATACTTTCCCTTTGCGCACAGCACTAACCTGCCATGGGGATGCATGACTACTGTATACTGCACACTGACACACACGCACGCACTTTTCCTTATGATTATGATTCCAAACTACAGCGTCTCCCAGCGAATGCTTTTCTGACTGCTGCATTTTACAACTAATCCAGTTGATAATAATCTACTGTAGACCTTCCACCAAGTACACTCCTGCCCACATTGCAGTCAGCGCCTTGGGACGTCCTCCCGATGTGAAAGGCGCTATACAAATGTGATTTTGTATTGCACTGTAATATCTCTAATCATTGTAATCACACTGAGCTAATACTGGGGAGCGAAACTCTTAATTGGTGGTGCTTTCAGAGTAAACCACTAAGGATGAGATAGCTCTCCATTCAATGCAGGGTTATGGGGAGAGCACGGGGGGGGGGGGGAGTGGGATTAATTTGGACAGCTCTTTCAAAGAGCAGGCACAGACACGATGGGCCGAATTGCCTCCTTCTGTGCTGTATAATTCTACGATTCTATGAATCCTGTGGCCATTATTGGTAGGTCTTGGGGAGAGACAAAGATTGTGGTTCACATGAGCCATGGAGTAGAAAGATTATGAATTGCCGTCGATCAGACCTCAATGAGATAAAGAAGGCCAAAGCTTTGGGATACCCCATCCAGGACAGCAGCCTGAGAACCAAGGCCATGTATCCGCAGAAGAGGTGCTGAAGAAGGTGTGAATGATATCTCCGTCTCTCAACCCGGAGAATATTGTCCTTGTCTGTGAGATTTACATCTGGAACCGGATTTCCCTCTGGATTGTGGGAATTTTAAAGGGATTAAGGAATCTGCCGTGGGTCCTGTCAGCCAGGTGGACCTTAAGGACCCCCAAAAAGAGAAAAGAGCAGGAAGTTCCTCCTGGTGACCTGACCAGCAATCCTCTACTGGTTAGTCACATTTATGGAACCGTTAGTGGAACCTGACAGGCACATATGGACACCAGTTTTGCCGACAAAACTTGGCTAAAACAAGTGATCTGCTTCTACTTCGAAAGATAATAAAGCTCCTCGAATCGTATACTGTATCCCGAGATGTTATTTCCTATCAGGAGTGATGGGAGGTGCAATGGGGGCGATGCTGGTGGCATCGTGGCTTTGCCAGATTAGCAACTAACTCGCTAAACAGATTACCGTGTGGGATGAAGAGCTTAACCTGGTGGAGCAGTCAAAGCACATTGATGGCCAGCGAACATGTCATCGACAAATGGGCAAGAAGCTTAGAGACCGGAGATTCTTTGCGGAGCTATATCCTGCCCCGTATACGACCACGGCGATAATAATAATCCTTGCATTTGATACAGCGCCTTACCGCGTCGTTGCGACGTCTCAAAGCTCTTCGCGGATATACTGCAAAATGAATTGACCGTATAGTTTGTGGGCGGAACGCGGCAGCCAATTGCGCACAGCAGCGTCCCACAAACAGTCGTGGATTGAGTGACCGCATTTGTTGTGGGGGATGCGAAGCACATCCGTCTCGGTGACGTTGTGGAGATAGTGGATTTGTTTTAGCGAACGACGCATAGCCAGCTTCTGCTTGGGATGCATTACCCCACACTCACCTCGAGATGTCACTGTCGTTGACACTATTTTCCCACCGTTGGTAAATTTATCAAGATAAGGCGACGGGCTCCACGACGAGAGCGCCAACTCCAGGCCTGCCCCAACACAGGTCCTGCTAAGCCAAGAGGCGCAACCATTATTAAAACAGCGATGAAATACTCACGCTAATTTTAATATCAATTGATATCAGTACCATAGCTGAACTTCCGCACACCGGGAAACATGTGAGGAATGGTTCTTCACCTCACAGCTATCTGTGCATCAAGCGCACGGTCACTACACTTGACAGCAATTGCACGCGGAGCGCTTTGAGACGAGGACTATTGTCACAGTATTGCCGAATGTGGAATTATTGCCCGGACGATTGGGGAAGGTTTAAGGAAGGGGATTGATGATGAATCCACCGCTTAGATCATTAATCCTGGCAAAGTGGTTTAGAGAACTTAAGCTGTTTCGATCAAAAGAAGGCGCGTTGGCAGGGACGCGACGGAGGGTTTGAGAGCAAAAGGAGAAGGGGGTTGAATCAGGGGAGGCAAAGCTGCAGCGTGCATCCCTGTCATGTCAGAATGAAATATAAAAAGAAATATGTGTTTCTCGTTCAATGTCGCTCAATATTCTACCGCAGAGCAGGCAAGATTCAAGCTGTTAAGCCCCAGGTAATGCTCCTGTTGATGAGTCTACGTGACGTTAGCAATGCTAACCTGGAGTTACCTCTCTCTGGGATGGGGTTGGGGGGTGGGGGGGAATGATTAGTCTCTGCTCAGCCAACTTCACATCTGAAAGACTCTTACCATGACTGTTTGTGGGGACGTTGCTGTGCGCAAATTGACTGCCGGGTTTCGCCCACAAAATAGGCAGTCGATTCACTTTGCGGTAAATTCCGTGAAGCGCTTTGAGACGTCTCGACGACGTGATAAGGCGCTGTGTCAAATGCAAAGATTGTTCTTATTACTATTACAGTTTACACGGTCACTGCACTTCACACTTACTCTAACGCTTTGTCAATTAATTCCTTTTCAACACAAGCCGGATGACTATCTATTTCCAACAACAACAACAAGGACGACGATTTGCATTTATACAGCACCCCTCACACAGGGTAGCGTCCCAGAGCGCTTAATTTGCCAACTGTTTGCAAAAGGGAATGAAACGTTCAAGGATACATTAAGATCGCTCAAGGTGGAGGAATAATCAGCAGGAGACTGCTTCATTGGGATTGCAACTGGCCGCCATCGAATTAATGTACAAACCAGGGCAAGGTGTGCGGCATCTTATAAAAGTGTTCCTTGGGTTAATGTTCCAAAATTAACGCCAGTGGACATCCTTGCGGGTTTTTTTTTTAATTCAAGCCCCGTCCGTTCTACTTAGTAAAGGAAAGCTCCCCCTTTTCCGAACGAGTTCGCCGATTAATTTGAACAGGGCGTTCAAATAATACCCGTGTCGATTGCCGCTGGCAGAGATCATCCTTTAGTAGACCACAGGACACTCATTAACACGCATCCCCCCCACCTCTAGGTGACCTCATTCCGTTGCCAATGTGTTTTAGCTGGCGATATCGCTCGTCCATTGCTAATGAGCTCTCACTAGCCTCAAACAGTAGCTTACTGAAAGTCCGGTCTGCACAGACAACAAGGAATTCTGTCGTTCCACGAGGGAAAATAATACTTGGGGAATATTATCCTCTTAAGAAAAAAAATCACACCTTTGCTTGGAAATCCAACTGGGCAATCAGGACAGGATTCCCTGGGACTATCTCACAGACACTTGGGTCTGAAATAATAATAATAATCCTTGCGTTCGACACAACGCCTTATCATGTCTTTGAGATGTCTCAAAGCGCTTCACAGGATATACTGTAAAGTGGAGTGACTGGTTGCTTTGTGGGCGAAAGGTCTTCGACGCTTGTGCTCACTGGTTGACTCTAGCATCTGGATAGAAAATCTGGGAGAGACACAAAGCCTTTCCTGCGGCATTATAACTCTGATGGAGACAATGCAATTTTATGTGTCCTGTTCTGACTATATCCTGTTAACTGTTATTTTCCGATGTTACAGGTGCTGGTGAATCAGGAAAGAGCACCATTGTCAAGCAAATGAAGTGAGTCTCGTTTCTGTGTCTCTATATAATTTAACAACTAACTTCTATTTGTCCCAGAAGAATAAACGGATCAAAGTCTGACCATCCAGATATAAGCCTATCTGGAAGGTCCCCCAACCATCGGAATGGGAGATCTTCCTTTTGGCATCTTAGGTTTGGGCCTGTTTGAAAATACGTCAAACTAACCCTCACCCCATAGCCCACTTCACACATGATTGTGTGTTTCTGTCGCTTGCTACATACATGTAAGAATATACATGAGCGTCGCTGGTCTTGCTAATCTCTCAGTGTTTACCTGGGCTTAGTTGGTAGCACTTTTGCGCAGGGCTGAGTTCAAACTCTGACATAAGATGAGCTCACAGTCTGGACAGACGCTCCAGTCTAAGTGCACTTTTGTCAGAGGTGCATTGGCTGAGATGTTAAAGTAATGGCCTGTTGTGGTGGACGTGTTATAAATCCAACTGGAAAAGAAAACGTTTTTCTCTTCGCATCGCCCTGACCAACAATTCTCGACGTTAATTGATCAATCACTTTACGGCTCTTTGTGGGAAACGTCCAACTTCCAACCCTACAAATTAGCGGCTGTGTTTGCCTTCAAATACACAGCCACTACCTTTTAAATAGCCCGTGAAGCGATTGGAGATGGTTTTGATACTGTAAGCGCTGTATCGATTGTGAGGATTATAATATCCTGTGAAGCACTTAACACATTCCGAACACGTACAACCCAGTGTGTAATCTCACCTCTTCAAACACTAACCTCCAATTACAAAATCACACTTCCAAAAAGTGTCAGCTCACCCACTTCCATCTCACTGGGATTCGTTTGTTAGCTGAGCGCGAGAGAAACTAGAAGCGACGCCTCTTCTCACAGTTATATGTGGAACGTTAATATAAATAAGGTTCTTTTGTGCTAAAATGTGTTATTTAACTGAACCTATGATCCCCAATAATCGGTTGAAGTTACAGCTTATTTGAGAATGTATTTCTTTTATAAAATGTTATTAATATTATTGATATCCTGTCTTTGCCCAGCATCCCAACAGATCACAATGGCTAGTGATCAAACACTTAGACAGCTCAGTGACACTGAGGCCAGTTTCAATGCCCTCACACTCCACTACTAACTGCGGCCAAAATATTCACAGGATCAAAGATGGGTTCGGATGAAGAAGGCCCTTCGGATCATCTGATTTCATCCTTCTAGAACACACGCCCAACCATCCCTCCTTCATCAATAACAACAATTTGCATTAATATAGAGCCCCACATGCAGGTTAAGTCTTACATCACTAAGATGCTTTTATAAATGAATCCCAGATTCCTGACCTCTACCACCTTTCCTGGCCAAACTGGGAGGATTGGAAGTGTTAAACAGCCTGTTTAAATGTTGTTGTGTTGTTGTTTGTGAAATGATGCACTAAATACTTTGTCGTTTCTCATAGGATCATCCATCAGAACGGTTACTCGAAGGAAGAATGTTTAGAATTCGTATCCATCATTAATGGTAATATCCTGCAATCTATCCTGGCCATCGTCAAAGCCATGTCTGTCTTTGGGATTAATCACGGAGAATCAGCTTGCGCGGTGAGCACATCTGCGCTTCGAAACCTTTAGCACGTGGAGACCTGTAGCTTAGTGGTTAGTGCGCTGGCCTCGCAAGTGAGAGGACTTGGGTTTGATTCCTGGGCAGAACGAAACCTTTGGCAAGTTTCCTTACGCCACACTCCTCTGTTCACCCAGCAGTGAGTAGGAACCCAGTTGTTAGTTGATTGACGGATCGCTTTTCCGTGAGTAATAATCCCTCCAAAAATCACAAAACAAAAAAAATTGGGTCACTCCATCCACGACTGTTTGTGGGACGCCGCTGTGCGCATTTGGCTGCCGCGTTTCGCCCACACAATGCCCAGTCAATCAACTTGACAGTGTGTTCTGTGAAGTGTTTTGAGCCGTCCTCGAAGATGTGATAAGGCGCCGTATAAATGGCAAGGATTATGATTGTTTGTATTTTGGGCTTTGCAGGATGCTGGCAGACAGCTGTTTAACCTGGCAGACTCCATCGATGAAGGCTCCATGCCCAAGCAGTTGGTGGATGTCATAAAGATGCTGTGGGCTGATTCGGGAGTTCAGGCCTGCTTTGAAAGGGCAGCCGAATACCAGCTCAACGACTCGGCTTCATAGTAAGTGCCTTGTAAACAACAGCAGCAATTTGGCTGCTGCGTTTCGCCCAAGTAACACACACGTTACGGTGAAACCCGTGAAGCGTTTCGAGATGTCTCGAAAATGTAAGGCTCTATATCAAAGGCAAGTATTATTACTGTTATTATTATTATTATTATTATTATTATACTTGGTGGGTTGGGCTTTCAGCCATCCAGCACCCACTCTGTTGAACTGGATCCCAGAGTTGCCCCTCTCCCTCAAAATAAAATCCCTCTCCACCTTTAAATCCTCCTGAAGTCCTTTCTTTTCGATCTTGCTTTTCTCAACCCCAATGTCAGGAAAATGTGTTGACCCCCAATGCAGTTAGTTTCTCCCCAGTTGCCCAAACCGGAAGAATTGGTGTCTAAAATATTGCCAATGCAAAGCAGCACAGAGCATTGCAGGACAGATGCAAGTGAGACGGACGCCAGATATAATTCTTTTAAAATAATAGTAATCGTAATCCTTGCATTTGATGCCACGCCTTATCACATCGTTGAGAAATCTCAAAGCGCTTCGGAGAATATTCTGTCAAGTGCAATGACTGTGTAATTTGCGTAATAATAGCAGTACTTTGCAAAACACGGCAGCCAATTGCACACAGCAGACGCGTGTATTTTTTTGTTTATATCCACGATCAAAGAAGTGTGGGTTACCATGTTGGAGCAGCAAACTCTTCCTGTGCAGACAGAAGGTGAGTGATTGGGGTGTGTGTGGTTTCCTGATGATTTCCACCACACTTTGCATCAGGGGCAGAAACCACGGGGGTTTAGTGGGGGTGGGGTAGGGCGGGGGCGTGTGAAACCACAACTAAAGAAACAAACCTGCCTTGCAAGTGACGAGTGGTGAGTGGCTAACCTCAGGTTGGGAGTATAACTGTGGTCTCATCACGTCTCAGAGAGGAACTTGTGTGGTTTGCCTCGAACTTGCTAAACGCCAAATACCCTACATACCGGATTCTGTCAGATTGCTGTATTATTGATAGAGCACGGCTGAGCAGATTCATTCCCCTCCTGCTGCGCGGCTGTTCTTCTAACCGTGGCCACTGGCTTTCACAGAAGTGGAGCTGCAGTCTCAGCCGGATCTGAGTGACGGGATTTAATTCGTCAAAATGCTTGAATTGAATCGACAAATTTAATCAGTCGCCCTGTTGCAAACCCACTCATGTCTCCCTTCACATGGATATTTCAACTGGCTGATTGGTGAAATTTGGACATTCCCTCCTCCGTGGCTGTTAGTGAAACCTTGGTCGGAATTTGGACAGGGATAAAGACATGAACGCTGCCAATCATTAGTGTTTGTACGTATGTATATATATATATATGACGTGAATACGGTACACCTCACATAAGTCGTATCAGTTGGAACCAAACATTTAATATGACTTATGCAAAGTACCAGTTGTGTCAAACTTGCCTAGAATATAAACTCTTGAACTGGACTTGCGCAGATGTGCGACTTAGATGATTGTACGACTTATACAGATCAGTCTGATGCGATTTTAACTGTATTTCTCTTTCCCTCAGCTACCTGAACAACCTGGAGAGGATCACAAGTGCCGGCTTTATCCCAAATGAGCAAGACGTGTTGAGGTCGAGGGTGAAGACCACAGGTATCATTGAGGAACAGTTCTCCTGTCAGGATCTACACTTCAGGTGAAAAGGCGTATATGTGTATTTGCCATTTAATATCAGTGTTAGGCGTTACAACAGAGAGTTGGAAAATAACGGGAAAGGTCATTTGTTAAGGATTTTATGAATAATTGTGGGCAGACTTAGAAAAAAAACACAAACGCACGACTTTGGCAATTGTTACGCACTTTCTATGCCACTTCCTACAGCGTTTGCTCTGAGTTTAACCTTTTGAGTTAGACAGATGGATAATTTCCAAAGGCCTCATTTGAACAGAGGGGGAAACACAAGTAAATACTCAACAACAATAACAAATTATATTTCCACGGCGCCTTTCATGTTGGGAGGATGCCCCAAGGAGCTGGGCAATCAAGGATTTGCAACCGAGCTGAGGGTATGGGGTCAGGAGAGGGTGGCGGGCTGGGAGGGTGGGGTTAGGAGGGTGAACGAAGGCACGGTTGAAGAGGTGACGGAAGGTAAACGGGTGGACACCCCCCTCTCCTCTGCCCCCCTCCCCCCCACCCCACCGGTGTTATTCTGTGGGGCAGCCTCGAGGTTAACGTGCGGATTTCCTCCCCTCCAGAATGTTTGATGTCGGTGGCCAGAGATCTGAGCGAAAGAAATGGATCCACTGTTTCGAAGGGGTGACCTGCATTATATTCTGTGGGGCGCTCAGTGCCTACGACATGGTGCTGGTGGAAGATGATGATGTGGTAAGAAGGCCAAGAGCCCGAGTTCTTACAAAAACAATTAAACAATTCGGTGCAATTGCATGAAAGGTGATTTTGGCCCCAAAAGAAAAAAGGTTTATGGACGAAATCAGACGGGGGAAGCAGAAAGTGTTGCTTGTTTCAAGAACAAATTAGATAAGATTTCTGCTAGAAAATAATATCGGGGGCTACAGTACAGCATATAGTTTGGGACACGACATGGCAAGCGACTGCCAAAGGATGGTGGAAGGCAAACTGGATGGAGCTTGGTCTTCTTTAACCTAGTAAATTCTTAAGGTCCTGTTTTGTTTGCACAGAAATCACGGAATAGGAAACGTTAGACTAAGTTATGCACTGAATGTATTCTCGGCAGCCCAGAGTGACTGACGTCCGCAATACCGCACACTGTCCCAGCTCGTCCAGTCATGCATACACTGAACAACGTAATGAGAAAGAGAAGTGAGGATCATTGAGTGAGACAAAAATAGGTTACCTGCCGGAGGTCGTTTCGAGTTCCTTGGCAACCTGTCGGCACTCCTGGAGTTTCATCTCGCACGAACGACATTGGCATTTGCTGAGGTCGATTTCCCATTACATTAATAATAAGCTTAAAAAGTGAGTGTGCAAGTTAGAGATCCAGACGGCTTCTGGCGTCGTAAGGAAGAGAAGATTGTAACCAGACTGTGTTGTAGTTTAATCAGTATGTATGTCAGCAGGACAAAACCATGCTTGGCGTCTGTCTATTCAGTGAAAATTAATGCAAAACTGTGTTCGACTCTGAATACATATCTTGCGGAATACTCCCAATGAGCATTCCAGTAACAGAGCGCGGTTTGGGTATGTTTGTGAGCAACGTTTTTTTTAAAAAAGAAAATGTTTCCTCTCACCGTGTCACTACTCATTAGGGCTTTGATTAACCCTGAAGCCAAAGTCCTAATGAGTCAGGTGGTCCCAGCTGGACAAGCAGCAGGAAGCTCGTCAGTTAATCAGTGCTTTCGATGATAATTTGGTCACTCAATCCACGATTGCGTGTGGGACGTTGCTGTGCGCAATTGGCCGCCGCGTTTCGCCCACAAGTTATCCGGTCGATTCACTTCACAGCATATTCTGAGAAGCGCTTTGAGCCGACTCGAAGTTGTGATAAGGCGCTATAGCAAATGCACGGGTTATTTATTATTACATGCTGTGCATTTTTTTTGCTGGTTAAACTCCAGCAGTTACCCCAACGCACACTCATGACGCATAACTTAGTCTAACGTTTCCTATTCCGTATTTACAAATAGCGCCCCCCACGCAGAGTAACGCCTCAGAGCGCTGATAAAAGGGGCGGGGGGGGGGGGGGGTGGTGCGGGATGCATTGAACGTAGGGCGAAAGGAAATCTAGACCGAACCAAGCAAAAATTAATCCAGTCGGTGTCCGTTTACTCCTTCCTGTTATAAATAAATTCTTGTTTGCACCAGAACCGAATGCACGAGAGTCTCCACCTGTTCAACAGTATTTGTAACCACAGATACTTTGCAGCCACCTCCATTGTACTCTTTCTGAACAAAAAGGACCTCTTCGAAGAAAAGATCAAAAAAGTTCACCTGAGTATCTGCTTCCCGGATTACGACGGTATTTTCCCTTTTATATTATATATTTACAGTATATTCTGAGAAGCGCTTTGAGAAGTCTCGAAGATACGTGATCAGGTGCTATAGCGAATGCAAGGATTACTATTATTTATTATATCTAATAGTATTCTTGCTTACACGATGGGTGCAGTGAGGGGGGAAAGTAACGCACTTTCTCATTGTGAAATGAAATCCAATGTGTTAAAAGGCATTTTGTGCTTGTGATTGTCCCCGGGTGACATCCTGCGCTCACACCTACACATGAAGGAGGGCAAGGAACAGTTTAACCTTAAAAAAAAATCCTGCGCATTTTCTTTAACACCACAAACTTCATCACAAACCGTTACCTGAATAACGTGAAGTTTAGCTGTGCGGGGGTCGTGTATTTCGCTACGCTTACATGTTTGGATTGAAATGGTTAACAACAGCAACAACAAAAAAATTGCATTTATATAGCCCAACCTCACGCAGGATAGTCCCAGATCGCTTGACCAGTCTTTCTGCTTTAACCCCCCCCCAGGTCCCAACACATACGAAGATGCCGGCAACTACATCAAGCTGCAGTTCCTTGAACTCAACATGCGAAAAGATGTGAAAGAAATCTACGCACACATGACATGCGCCACAGACACAAAAAACGTGAAGTTTGTGTTTGACGCTGTGACAGACATCATCATTAAAGAGAACCTTAAGGAATGTGGTCTTTTTTAAAAACGCTCTTTCGTCTGTCTCAGGTAAATAATAATAATAATAATAATAATCCTGGCATTTGATCTAGCATCTTATCGTGTCCAATCAACAGAAATTGCAAATGCTTTTAAAGGGAACCTCACCATCGTTTTCATTTTAAAACTGAACATTGAAGCCTTTGCACTCTCCAACGAAGATGATAATAATCCTCGCACTTGATACAGCGCCTTATCAGGTCTCCGAGACACCCCAAAGCACTTCACAGAATATACCACAAATAAAGTGAATTGAAGTGTAGTTTGTGGGCGAAAGGATGAACTAGTGGAGTATCTGTTTAATTATCACTGAGCTTGTTGGCTATTGCAAGATATCAGTTCCAAAAATGTCTTAAACAAACCAATTAGCAGAAATGACAGTGGAGTTCTCAGCAGTGTTCCTGCAGATTCACGGGCAGATATATTCCTTGACACAGTTTATTTTTACTCAGTAAGGTGTACAAAGTTTTTAAGGATTTAACTCTTATTTGACTACCAGCAATCGCCTGCCTCCCGTGCAGGAATTTATTAGTCAAGCTCCGACCGTCACCGGTCACCGTCCTACCCCTAACCTTCTTGCCCTCCTGATTCCAGCTGCCTGCTCGGGTCCAAATCCCCGACTGTCCAGCGCCTTGGGAGGCCCTCCCGACATGAAAGGCGCTATGCACGTCTTGTATTGTGGTGGCTGACACAACACCATGGGTCAGCCTGGGCTCAGTCAGTAGCACTCTCACTTCTGAGTCAGAAGATCGTGGCTTCAAGCCTCACTAAAGAACTTTGAGCTTAGTCCAAGCTTGACTTCCCAAGTACAGTGCTTGGGCAAGCATTGCCTTGTCAGAGGTGCCTGTTCAGGTAGATATTAAAGATCCAGTGGCACTATTTGACAATGGAAGGGAGTTTTTGCCAACAATCTCTGTTAAAATGAAATTGTCTATTCATTTCACGACATTTGTTTGCCAATTGGCTGGTGTGCTTGCCTACAATATGCGCAATCAGTGCACTTCCTGTGAAGCGCTTTGACGTGATAAGGCGCAACATCAAATCCAAGTATTATTATTTTACTGTAGTTTTAATCTTTATGCGTTGTTTTTTTTTTGGCCAGGAGACCTCCGACATCCTTCTTTCAACAGATTTCTCAGGGGACGATGCACCTAAAATCTTCAATCGACTCTGCCCTTAGGCGACCACAGTTAAATCTCAGCAGCAAAAACGAGCAAGTCAAAACACTAGCAAACACTGACTGGAAGGAGTAACAGAGGCAGAACCAGAAAACTCGACTCCACATTTCAATCCGGAATACGTAAAATCTACTTCGAACAAGTCTGGGCACCTTACGCTCTGAAAATAGTGCGGTGTTCACAATGTTCACGTCGACAAATTTTATGCTTACAGAATGCGGAAGCAACTGGTAACGATCTTTGCATTTGGGACAGCGCCTTTTCACATTTGGACGTCAAAGGGTTTTCGCAGCATTTACCGCGAAGTGTAGTGGCTGCGCACGTTGTAGGCGAAGTGCAGACAGCTAAGAACTGTTCTCTTAAAATGTTTTAAATAGTTAAGCTTCAAGGTAACATTGGAAAAGTCCCCAAGTTATCATCTGTCATCTTTCTCCTAAACTAGAGCGCTAGTAGCCACAAAAACTCAAATAGAATTTGGCAATATTTCAAAACTGATGTTACAACAATAATCCTCGTACGAGCAACATTTAACAACGCGAACCTTAGACACCGTTCAACTTTGAACACTGCACCCAGTTGCTGGCATAGGGTTGAGCTCTCCAGAAACGTAATCAATTCAAATTTGGTCAAAATTCAGCACTGAACGATACACATCTGACTCTCATTTCATTGTTTCTTGGGCCAGCTTGAATTCACTGTAACCTTAGGAAGGTTCAATAGTTCTAAAAAAAAATAAACCCAGAGCTTTCCTACAAAATACTGCATCGCCCGAAATTAAAGGCAGGATATCTGATACGACCGTTCTTGGAACTATTCAGTGTGGCATTACCATCTTGGAATCCATGCCTTCTGTTCTTGCTGATTATTTCTTGTTGCCACCCTTTCTTCCTATGTACACACCCAATTATTTGAAAGGATATTAGAAGGTGGTGCCATGAATGTCACGTCCGGCTGTATGTGGTTGGTTTGCAGCTGTGCCGTGCGGGTCATAAAGCACCTAAGGTGACACAGAATCTCAAATATTTCGGGCACAATTTTACTTCAACCGAATTAGTGCTTAATTGCCGATTCTTCTCTTAAAAAAATCTAGAATGTGAATGTGTTTTGTAAATAAAGTAGGTGGTTTTCCCTCCACGGCGGCAGATGTTCTAACTATTTTAAGGTTAATCTTTTAGTTCCAATAAAGAATGATTATACCCTTATCTATTTTGCCACTACCTAGAGTATTTTCTGTTTTTCAGCACTAAATAGGGCGTCATGAAATAAATATGCATACAATACCAATCAAGGACTGAAGATAGCACCGATACAAACTATTCTGTATAATTCTTCAATTCTACCCCATTAATAACTATCCCCATTGTGAGAAATGCAAAATTCCAATGTTTCCTGACATTACTTAAGTAGTTACTTAATGATCTAGTTATTTAACTTCTACATTCAAATTTATAAAAGAATTCTTATAATGCCTCATCATGTCGTCGAGACGTCTCAAAGTGCTTCACAGAATGCACCGTAAAGTGTATATTTTGTAGGCGAAACCTAGCTACAGTATTTGTAAGCAGAACATTTCTAATTTTATGAACTTGCTTTTAAAAAGTTTATTCGTGACGTCGCGTAAGAATAGAAAGAATCCAAGCTTGTGGCAATATTAAACTCAAAAAAAGTTTGCATTTTATTATTTAGAACTGCCACTACAGTAACAAAGGCAGCGGATACAATCAAGACCAAAAGTCTAAACCCACAAAGCAACAATTCCAGCAGAGGAATGTATTCACTATATTAAAGAGCTACACTTTATTCAAAGGGGGGGAAAAAAAATAACATGGCAGAACGGGAATTTGGCACATTTACAAAATACTCAGGCATATTATGGTAACAGTTCAAAAAAAGACATTTACAGTTTAAAAAAACATGATGTTGGCATTAGAAGATTAGATGATTAGAAGACCCATTAGAAAATATCACAGTTCATTGCCAGAAAGGTAAAGCTATCCAAATGCCCAACAACTTTGCAGTAGTCATCAATGTTGAAACATGCTGAGGCATCACCAATGAGCCCCATCAAATAAATGGACATGATGTACAGGACAGTACTGGCAGAATTACCAACTGACGAGGTGGGGAAATTCTATACCATTAAAAGCCGTTAATACTCCTAGTTTTCTTCATCTTTAGATCCCAGGTGGCTTCTCAGGTGCAATAGAACGGGTGACATGGTGTCAGGTCTTTAGCCATGACAACTGGCTGTTTAACAGGAGGAAGGGAGAGCGCGATTCAATGTTGACTGAAACACTTAGGAGTGGGAGGAATCTCTACCTGATCAACGAACAGAAGCTGAACGCCTCCTCCCAATTTTTACAAATAGATCTCGAAAGAGTGGACTGGTCAATGCGCGGAATACAAAGATCAGCGAAAATGAAAGTTAGCCGTTAAAGCTATGAGTGGGAAACAGCACGGCACTGCTTTTGGTGTCACCAAATTCTATTTGTAGTCATAAGACTACAGCACAAACATTCGTTCAAATTCTCAGCAGCAGCGCAGATTTCTCCAACACTGGTGCAGTAATACACTTACACTGTAAACCAGCAAAAAAAAGGCTGTAAACATTTTACTGCCATTTTAGTCCACAATTTGTATGAACAAACAGTAAGGGGAACAGCCATCAAAAGCTTTTAGTTCCATCTTTGACTCCCTGTATCCCGTGGCACTTTTTAATTACAACTTGGCACTATGTCAAAACTTTGTTTAAAACCGTTTGATTAATACCAGCAATTCATAGGTCCCGTTTTAAAAACATGCTTTTGGCACACCTGTATTAATACTATTCAGTCTCAAATTTCATACTCCCCAGAAGTACTGGCTTTCCCAGTTACCCAACCAACATTTACAAGATTATATTTGTGAAAAATCGCTGACAAGCTGAGCTCAGGCACTCTCCTGTTCATTTCAGTTTGACTTAAAAAGGCTCGGTGATTGTGAACCTCTTCATTGGTGAATGATGTGGAAAGCAAAGCAACCTTTTAACAGTAATCAATGCTGAAACAGAGTGGGAAATATCAGGACAGATACTCTTTTAAGTATTAAAGCATAGTAGATTTGTGCCTGATACAACTAATTGAGATAGCACTTGGAGAAAGAGCTAAGGTAAAGGCCAGAGTGAGAGGTCCATTCTTTTATACTTAATTTCTTATGAAGTAGTTTCCTCCCCATTGTAAACCATGGGGAAGTTCTGCCCCGTTATACATTTACCAATACAGGCACTGAATATGATTCATTGAATTGGATCAAGCTGCATTGAAATCTCCTATCACTATCGTTCCTAGAATGACAATTTAGCCACAGTCCATCTTGCAACTTGACAAATTGTACAGCAGACAGCACGTGAAGTCCCAGTGATAAATTAGCTTCTCAAACCATCACTGTGGGATAAACACAAGATTGAGAAGTTTACAGGTCCCTGTAGGCTGGGAATTTTAACTGATCAATAATTGGACACTTCACTGAACAACTGAGCTCACCTTGGAATTTGTTAGTCAACACAAATTAGTAGGCTTGCTTTTTCTGGTTGGATTCTGGGTTCACCAATCTACCCCTCGTATAAGCGATGTGGGATTTTTATTTTAAAAAACTCTCCTTGCATGATAAGAAATATGAGATTGAACATAATCCCTGAATTTCATGTCAGCACAAACATCCCTTAGGCAACTGGAATGACGGTGACTAAATACGGCAGCAAGTTTCAACAATTCATAACGCTAGAAAGTTTAAAAATACCTAACAGGTGCACTTTAAGAAAATGCAGTGAAATATCTTGCAAAACAAAAAAAATGGTCATACGGATGTCATCACATTTTGGTCAACCAAACCGAAGGCAGCGTAGGATTCAACTTAATTTGATACGTAACGTTTAGAAGGCAAAAAGAGGAACGCGAGATAAAATCAAAGGTGTGTTGGAAACTGTTTGAACCAACGCTGAGTTTCAACACGTACATCGTGTGTACCTGCTGCTTTCAGCCTACAATGCAACTAGTTTAAAAATGCTCATAATACATATTTAGTAATGAATACAAGTATCGTGCATGCAGCCTCCCACACGAACGACTTCAGCCACGCCTTTTCAACCATGCCGCCTCACGCGACGACCAGCATTAATCAGGGAACAAAAGGATCTGCCGCAGGATCCCTTCTGTTAACAAAAGCCTGAAAGCAAGAAAACAGAAAATTTATGTAATTCTTGCCATCAAATGTTATCATTACTCTCTGTTTTGTTCACAAGAGCATGTTTGCTCAAACCTACAAGGTTTTCTTTTTACAAAAAAAAGTGACCAAAGAGTAAACCATTTGTATCAAAGGTCTCCAACTCTAGCTCATGAACCAGTGAGGCCTTATTCTCACCTGAATGTTCCCTCTGGACAATCCTAGTACAATCCACACTCCTTCAAGTTATTCTTGATGATGACATCCGTCACTGCATCAAACACAAACTGCACATTCTTGGTATCAGTGGCACATGTGAAGTGGGTGTAAATCTCCTTGGTCTCTTTTCGTCTGTTCAGGTCTTCAAATTGGCACTGGATATAAGCTGCAGCTTCCTCGTACGTGTTGGATCCTGTTCAGAAGCGGGGGGATGGTTTACCGGGGCGGGGCAAACAGAAATAAAATAAGCCTTAATTTGGCAGCAGCAATGGAAAAAGAACAAAGCTTCAATAAGAGTGGCCAACTACACACAAAGTACAGAAGGTAAGGGAGGTGTGCCAATGGTCATGATTAGTTTGATGCAAGTGAAATTATTGTTAGTGTCTGGACTTCTTACATTGATCTGATCTAGATTCTCACCAACTGGTAGTGATTCAGAGCAAGACAGCACCACAGTAAGGGAGGGAACAATGTAAGTCTTTTGCAACAAACATCTTGCAAAAGAGTTACACTCTGATTCAGTGTACATCTGTACTCTGGATATTAATAGGTTTCTTTCCACACTAGATTTACGTATAACTTCAGCCAACTGCTAACTTCTCAGTTACATCAAAGTGTAATTTAGTGAAAGAACATAGTTCACTTCAGGTTGCTGCTTCGTGCATCTCGAGTGTCCCACGCCCACGTCACAATGCACTGTTCTCGCACAGCCGTTGCTCTGTTACCAACGGCTTCCCCTCCTGTACAGCCAGGTCACTGTGACCCAAAGCCATAATCACAATGCATCCAAATGGAAGAGGAAGAAAAGTACCTTCTACACTAATGTACAATACAAAAAAAGTTCATCTTGTCTTATGTGCACTTGTTGCTTAATTAGCAGTGTATTACATCCGCAGTACATAAAAGCCAAATTATTCAATGAAAATGGCACCCCATATCATTGCAGGAAGTTTCAAATGTCTCCGTTAATTAAGTTTCAACTTCCTTTTGCTGTCAATTTCTGCAGAACACTTTGTGCTTCGATATAATACACACAGAACGATACTACCAGGCACCAAGGTCTCTCAGCCCTCAGATAACACGCTAATGCTTTTACAATGCCATTGTTCATTTTCTGTCAATCCCTCACCGGTGATTTACCTGTATATTCTGGGTAACAAATGGTCAAAGGACTTCTCTTGATCTTTTCTTCAAACAGATCCTTTTTGTTCAGGAACAGGATAATGGACGTGTCGGTAAACCACTTGTTGTTGCAGATGCTATCGAAAAGCTTCATGCTCTCATGCATTCGATTCTGTAAAAAAAACATAATTCTAATTTTACTCTCGAATTAAATGGACATTTCTCCCTCCTTCCCACTACCTCAGTCAATCACTAATTTAAACTCACAAATATTTTAAATTATTCAAATTCTCCATTCCAGGTCACCAGATCCTCATGAACTGTTCTGGTGGATGTAGACACAGCAGGGATGAAGGCATTGTGAAGAGTTTCAATTGATTTAACTGGAAGCTGGCAGGCATTTCAGAGCAGTTTAGGAGCCAACCCGGAGCTACCTGACCCATAAAAACTACAACCAGCTCTGTACAGCATCTACCCCAAATGGTAGGACTCCATGAATCCAAACGAGATTATAGAAATGACAATCCTCATGGCGCAGCAACGTTTAACTTTACAAAGAAAAACTAGTGCCTTGACAAAATGCCCTAAAAATGTACAAGCGAATTAAAAATACATGAGCAAACAGCCTAGAAAGTGCACTAGAACACACAAACACACTCTACACAAGATCCTACAGGAATTTTCAGAAACATTAAAGCACATATTATTGTCTGTGCCAAGCACCGGTATCTGGGAGTTCAGTGAAAAATATTTTGCAGGAAACAAAACAAAGAAAAAAAAGTTGCTGAACAGCTTGAAACAAAATAGAATTTAATAGAAAACAATATTTATCTACTATCAACTATTTAAGAGTACAAATTGCAAAACTGGCAGAAATAGTAATAAATAACTGTGCTAAGAATCCCAGACAGTTCTGAGCTACCGTTTTAAGAAACCTTGGCCTCCTAACCTACTACCAAACAATGAAAAAAAATACAGAATGTACATACCATTTCCTCATCCTCAGCAAGTACCAGATCGTAATCACTCAATGCAACACAGAATATTATTGCAGTCACGCCTTCGAAGCAGTGGATCCATTTTTTACGTTCTGACCTCTGTCCACCCACATCAAACATCCTTAAGAAAAAAAAACATACTCTAAAACAAGCAACTCGAAAGCTGTGATGCCGAAGGTCAATGTTTTGTCAAATATCAAAAATGAACATAGAATCAAGCAGCACAGAAGGAAGGCATTCGGCCCATCGTGTCATGTCGGCTCTTTGAAAGAGCTGTCCAAACTAGTCCCACTCCCCCGCGCTCTCCCCAACAGTAAGCGTGTATACAATGTGGCAGCCTCAAGGTCCCGTTTGGCTTTAATGATTCCCTAAAGAAATAAAGCATTAGAGATTGTTGCGTGCATTGTGTCCTGCTACACATACATTTTACAAAAGTATTCCACAATTCAAATTACTTTCATTCAATCAGGCTTAAAACGGATGGATCTTGGCACTACACCTATTTTACACCTCCTTTGCTTCACGTACTGCTAAATCTCATTTCAGAAGAATTCATCTAAAATTCATCTCAGAAGAAAGTAAATGCCCAGTTACGATTTTCCTCCAATTTTGTTAAATCACAAGCTTAAATGTTACTGTTGAATGATCCCAGAAATCTTACACCCATATACACATTCTGATAAAAGCAGCAACTTAATGATGGAAACAATGCTTGAGGCAAATAGCTATGCACATATTCACTTTACACATGACACTGAACACAGATTACATCGCTGTACACTGCATATTTTCTCACAAATTAACCATCTGGCACGCGAATCACAAGTCTCATTCGCAAAAGATTCACATCATCAACACTTCGGAAACTACCCCTAGAAAATCAGAGTGACACTGAGATAAATGGATAATGCACACAACAAATCATTAACCTCAGGCGGCATTTTAACTAATCAACCCACAGTAAACTCAGCACAAAGAAGAAGCAGACAGGTGCCTCCCTTTCTCTGACATGGAAAGGAATTACTAAATAGTTCAGTAAAAACATCTGTACATTGTAATCCATCACAAATAATTTAGAATTCTCGTGCACTTAATGTGGTCAATCTGCATCTCAGTCTCATCAATCCAAACCAAATGGGTTTAATCAATAAATACAAAAGCTTTTTAAAATGTAATATTCATTTCCTTAAGGAATATGATGTTAAACTTAACCCTGACCCATCAGCACCCACCAGAGCCTAAATGGGGAACACAAACGTCAAGGACATTCTGAATCAAGACAAATATACTCAAATATTTTTAATTTGAGAGCACTTCCTCAAACAGTACTGTTGCACGTGACATTTCATTCAACTTTGCGGAAATTGCAAGATCACAACTTTTAATAAAATATTGAAGTAAAATATCCACTGGTTACTGAATCAACTGCTACTGTTTTCAGGCACAGTCATACTCCAATAGCGTCAAAACACATTGAGCGGTGCCTTTCAGCATTACAAATAGTGACAGTGCAAATATTTTGGTTCCTTCAAACAACTACATGGGATTGCAAATAGGTAGTTGTACACGGACTTGTGATTAAACATTACTTACTTGAAGTATAAATCCTTGAAGGTGAAGTGCGTCTCCACTATGCCTGTAGTTTTGACTCTGGTTCGCAGGACATCTTGTTGAGTTGGAATGTAACTCTGATGGGATATTCTATCCAGATCATTCAAATAACTAAAGGAAATAAATGAGTTAGTGAATCTAACAAACTGCCCCAAACTGCTACAACCCCCGGTGAACAACACCAAACTTCAGAAACCAAATCTATAAATCGGTGTAAAAGATACACCACTTTCGAGATTATTAAAAACCATACTTACTAGGAGGCAGAATCATTCAGCTGATATTCTCTGGATCTACTGAAACAGGCCTGAACCCCACCATCATTCCATAACCGTTTAATGACTCCTGCAAGTTCTGACGTCATGATTCCTTCCTCTGCTGCCCCGGCAAGTACAAATAACTGGCGTGCATCATCCTATATCAAAAGCAAGTAACTCTCAGGATTGTGAAGTGGTTCAAAATAACAGTATACAGTGGAGAAAAAGAAACACAAAATACAGTGGAGGCCTGTTTTAATGTGGTGGTTGGGATCTGTAAAATCCCATTCAATGTGTGCAAATGCATTCATATCTGAGGTGACCTAATGACCTAGAAGTTGGCTACTTTAGTGAGTAAGTGGGCTGCTCACGCACGCAGCTAACTGAATCTGCGCTATAATGGGCCAAATTGTAGTACTGGTACACATTACACATTTATACCACCGATAATGATTTGGCACAAGCAATGTTTGTATCATGAGCTGTGGGCAAAATATTTTTGCAATAATGTTGAGATGGATGATTTAATACTTGCAAATGTTTATTCTATTGGTTAACTGGGGAGTAACTTTGACTCAGTATGAAGGATTGTATCCCTAGATTTTGCAGCAATCTATTTATGCAACCATCAATTTTGTGTACTCACCGCTCTTGTTGGATCTCCAAAGTCAATCTTCAACCGCCCCATGGCCCTGATTATAGCAATGATGGACTGAATGGTATTGCTGTAAACCACAGCTTTATACTGTTTACATTCCTCCTCAGAATATCCATCCTCATGAATAATTCTGTGAAAGAGAGAAGCCAAGTTTACAATTGTAACCTGCTTACTGTACTTGGGAAAGGAAAAGGATACAAGATGGATTGAAATCTATCTTCTAGAAGATACACACTAAACACCCAAATGCCCATCGTAAGCTCTAAGTTTTGGATAAGACACAAAGTGTAAGACCTGAGGGTTTACTGAGGTAGCCAAGATACAAAAACAACAATTGAATAACTAGTTTGATTTAACCATAACCCTATCTCTAACCCTTGACACCAAAATTCAAGGACAAGTGCTTCCAATTCATTGTTGAAACCAACTTTTAAAAAAAGTCTCACATCTAGAACCCGAAAGAAGGAATGATTCGAAAAAAAAGGCTGACTGAAGTACAGAAAGTACTTCAGTCAAGAAATCACCACAGCCAGCACTCACACTTTATTGCTGAACTTCACATCCTTGTATTGTAGGCCAATTGAAAGGCAAATAAATTAAACTCTGTTACATCTGATGTGCTTTAGCTCCTGGAAAAACCTCCCCAAGTAGTTTAAGAAAGACTCAAGTCATAAGAACAAAGTAGATGATAAACTAACAACATAGGAGGAGGAGTTAACCATCCCAACCTTGCTCTTTGCCTGTAGTTTCGGTACCTGCATAAATCAATACAGAATCCAAGTATGGTAATATCACATTTAATCTATAGCTAGACATTTATCCGGTACATTACAAGTGTCCACTTAATGCTGAACTCAATACAGAAAGTCTAGATCAAAAATTGCTAAAAGGAAATTGCTAAGCAGTTTCAGACTCACTTCATTTGTTTCACAATTGTACTTTTCCCAGATTCACCAGCACCTGCAAAGAAAGAAAGTTGTATTCATATAGTGACTATTACATAACCCGCAACACAAATGTATACCTCCCAATTCAGTTTCTCTGTTTGGGAACAATGTGGTTTGCTTCCATTTGTAGCAATGATAGACTACATGTAAACAATTTTTTTGCTAAAAGATTCTTTACTTCTGTCAATAACAAACCAACATTTCAGGCAACTTTCCTTACTTCACATGCCTCGATTTACCTAGCAGTAAGTAGGATCCCGGTTGTTAGTCGATTGGCGGATCACTTTTCCCTTATTTTACAAAAAACATTAATAATGTGGTCACTCAATTCACAACTGTTTGTGGGACACTGCTGTGTGCAATTGGCTGCCGCATTCTGCCCACAAAATATACAGTCAATTCATTTTACAGTATATTCTGTGAAGTGCTTTGAGACATCTCGAAAAATGCAAAGTAAGGCACTGTATCAAATGCAAGGATTATTATTATTTTGTTAAGGTCATCACTAGATTGACCAGCTACAATGTACCACAGCTTTAATTTCAAATATCACCGAGTAGCAGTAAAACATCCCCTATCAAATGATGTAGAAGATCTACATTGAGTAGAAAACACTAGCAAAAAGGAATTGCCAAGTTATTACCCTCACTGACATTTAATTTTTTAATGACATTTTATAACAGAGCAAATAAAATACTGACATTGTGTGCAGTCCATTTTATGGGCAATGATTTTATATTACATACGCACATCCATATAAAAATCCACCCAATGTGCCTTAAATCTTTCTGGGCCAAGAATATTTTCCATTTACCACATCAACGCAGCTTATGAAGTCACAATCCGTCAGATATTAAAAATCCTTCAGGCAAAAAGGTCGCTCTTGGATTGTTATCAGGAACTGATATTTTCAAACAGATGGGGAATTGTACCTCTTGTATTAAGATTAAGGTTTGTGATCTGCATTTAGGTTAAATTTGAAACCAATTTTAAACTCGGGCGGTTTTGACATTCAAGGTCACATGGAACACTGCACCTCCCTCAAAGCCAAGAAACACAGGATTCAGAGTGTGCAGGACTTAATATCGCAGCCAGTGCCAAGCAGTGTTTGTGAGTGGTGTAAACATAAGTGGAAGCAGATTTCGCAGAATTTATTCAAAAACAAATTAAGATGTTTTGGGTCCATTTGGTGCAATGTTAAATCAGAATAAAGGATTTAATTAAAGCACATGGATCCTAAGTAACTTCTAAAGTAAACTGAACAATCTGTAAGTAGTGTAGACTGTAAAGGCGTGGACTGGGCAAAGGTCCAGATGGGAGATGGAAGTTGCTGGATTGAGAGCTAGCACAAATGATGATAATGTATGGTGTTTATAACAAGGACACAGTGTTATTATAAACGTAAACCACACAATCTCATAATTTCTGCAGTTCACGTCCTGAGCAGAGTCAGAGATGGATGCAGTAGGCGAAGATTTATAATAAATCAGCAAGCTGTCATGGCCAAAAGTGTCCAGATCCCTGCATGCCTTTGCTTTACACTGAATCATATGCAAAGACTCCGGTAATGTTTGTTTCACAAGCACATGCTTCATTTTCTGCTTAACTTTGACAACTTGTTGTACTGTATTTGCCTTTTAGTAACAAGTCATAACTTATAACCAATTGCTAAGTTTCCATAGATGTCTGATCGCTATCGTTTGGGTAAGACATTAAACCGAGGTTCCATCTGCCTGTTCAGGTGGACGTTAAAAGATCCCATAGCTCTATTTAAAAAGAGAACAGAGCTTCTCCCGGTGTATTGGCCAACAATCCCCCAAATAAAACCAGTCACTCACTCCGTGGGTGTTTGTGGGACATTGCTGTGCATGATTGGCTGCCGAGTTTCACCCACAAAATACAGTCAATCTACTTTAGAAGCGACATGATAAGGCACTATATCAAATGCATTGGTAGCATTCACAAACATTTCCCCAGTTTCCTCAAGGTCAACAGAGCACAAGGTCACATTGTACAATAGCATACACTTCCCTCACGAGTTCATCGATAAAATCCCAAAACATTCATTTTGACAAGCAGCCTTTCACTCGATCCTTATGATCAAGCCTGAGGTAGTTGCAGAGGGAATTTGTTCCTGCTCATGAGAAGCTGCTGAGCTAAATCTGCAGCATATAGAATATTATATGAAACAACACGTACATAACCCCAGAGGAACCCAAAATAAAGCAGTACAACTATTGGCAAGTTAAATACACAAGTCCGTGAAGACCTAAGCGCTGGAATAATAATGAAGGAAAATATGTTTCACTGGCATGCCATATACTGTTTAAAAAAATGACTTTTTTCATGATATTCATGTATCCTCAGCCCTTCCAATAGCTTGGCACTAGGCAATAGCTCTAATGAAATTAGAGTATCTAGAATGAAATACTCATGCAAACTGGGCATTGGATACTTATCCATAATTATAGGAAACATGCAGTGACTTGGCCGACCATCTGCTGATTAAAGCTCAGAACACTTCCTGATTTTGAAGAGTCACTTTGTACTTCTGTATTTAAATATGAATACTGTAATAAAATAAACCCTGCTATGGGCAATAAACTGACCAGTCCTTATCAGTTATAGAAGGAAATGTCTGTTGTCTGATGAGAACATATTGTGAAGTTTTGAGCAGACTTAGTCACATTCCTGTGGTATTAGCTGCATTTATTCCAGACATACAAAGCTAGATTAGTATAGAGCAGTAGAAATCAACAAGTTTTCATGAAATTGCTACCAGTTTTTAAATTTCCAATTTATTTTCCAGACATCAAAATTAAATTACTTAATTTGATGTAATAATTGGCTTTTTCCACTCCCAAACATTACCAGGAGTACCATTTTGAAATTACAGCTCAAAGCAGTCAAACAATCCTATCAAATGTGTAATACTTATAGCTTTTTTTTAAAAATAAAAAATTTATCACTTGGCTACAAAATGCTCTGAGCAGGCATGCCTTCATTTAAACCCTTAGGGAGCATTCGCTAACATATCTTTTTTGTTGCTAAGTTCACTTTCAGCACAAAATAAGAGGAACTATATCACATTAACCCTTTTAAATTTCATCAGAAGTTTCCTCTCAACGATAATTTTGAGAAATCCATGGTGAAATAAGAAAAGTGAAAGTTACCCAACAATTGAGTGGCACTACGTTTATTATAATAATAATCCTCGTATTTGATATAGCGCCTTATTGCATCTCCAAGATGTCTCAAAATGCTTCACAGAATATATTGTAAAGTGAATTGCCTGTATATTTTGTGGGCGAAAATATTGTGCCAGTTATGTAAAATACCTATTCCTGCATTCACAGGTTGCAGCGTGTCTGGCAATGGAGACAATGCCATCACTGTGTACATGATAAAGCCATCACAACATTATCAGTTCTGCTGCCTTGCTGAGTTCAGTGCTGGAACCCAAACAAGTCCAAAGCTTCGGGAGCACAAAAAATGGGCTCCGATTGTCAAGCAGTCGTGATATTCTCTGAAAAATTAATCTGAAAGCATCGAATCAGGTCTCCTATTGCCCATCAATCATATAGGATTATAATTGTAAGCTTACAGTGTGCATGGTGGCGTAATGTACCAATATCACAGTAAATATGTGCTTACTGTTCACAGCATGCAATATGCCAACAGGAAGAGAGCATCACGATTGAAACAACAGCAGGACTCGTTTCATAAAGTGCCACCTTTTTACTAAATTATTCATCATCATTTCTTGCTAAAAAGGCTTTTATTTACTTTGCAACAGCGTCGTCGGCCTTAGCCCTGCCATTTGAAACAAACTGCAAGTTAAACTTGACATTACAATAAAACTTGAGTCGTCCATTTATAAATTGTATAATCTCCTAAACAGTACACGTGCCCAAGTCCCATTCAGTTTCCAACCAAAAAACTTTTAGGTTTGTTAAAATACTAGCTGTATTTTATAAATTGGAAAAACGGTTAAATCTTAATGGTTTCTTGGTCCCAAATAATCCTAAATACCATGCAAATCACCTCCTAACTTGTAATGCACTTGCTGCTGCAGTGTTACGCTTCAAACAAGTGCTGGAAACAATGTCTTGACCAAATAAGAGGAGGAAACAAAGTACTTGTTTATTGTTATGTGTTAGTGGTATAAAATGAGACTTATACACGTTTGCCTATAAACTTCACGCAAGTCATATGAAGTGTAACGGTCCCGACTGATATGATTTATGTGAGTTTTACTGTAGTTTGCATTTTTGAAAAGTTTACCACACCACTGGCACAGGATCAATATTCAATGTTTGTGTTGGTGTTGCCCAAAAACTGAAAATATTCTACACTTTAATAACATGCTGTCTCTCACATTAAATATGCCTTTGCTCTAAGGAAAGGATTTATTTAAATTTGAGGAGTATCTGAAAACAAAATAAAAATAAATCTAATTTGAGCAGTTCATTACAATTGCTCCCAAAGTACAACCATAACAAATGCATTAAATGAATGCACTGCTCTTAAATTGTGTTTTGCAGTTTTACCAAGCCTTAAGAAGTGGACACCAGTTTAACGAGGCTGTAGACATTTTAAGTATTCGAAGTCTGTCAGGTAAGTAACAAGAGAAGCACTTTCCTGGAGGTACTGCTGATTTTAAGAGACCAAATGTCCTGAATAAATGAGAGACTGCTTTACCACGTCCAACAATTGGGACCCATCGTGTCTGTGCTGGCTCTTTTAAAAGTGCTATCCAAATCAATCCCACTCCCTCACGCTCTCCCCATAGTCCTGCAAACGTGTCTTCCACGAATTTAAATTTTTGTCTACTTTTAACTCAAAAATAACTCAAACTCTTTGAAAATGTAAACTAGCACCATGAAAGTTATAATTGAGGCTGTACCCTGCAATGTAAAAAATCTGAGTTGACAGGGATACAAAGTAAAATTTTCCAAAGGAGTAAAAACCATGTCACACAAATATATTCAACATTTTAATGTCATAAATTATTAATATAGACATAAGATATTGGTGCATAATTTGTTTTAAACCCATTATTTTTACCAAGGGTACATATATTCCATAGGAAATCACAAGTTACTCGATTTACCATTCCCATTCAACTCTTTTTTTGTTTCAATGCTTTGCAAAGAAAAGTTCTCCAATTCTACCAGGCCTCCTTGGGTTTCCAAATCATACTTCAGAATGCATCATTTTCATCTTTAACAGATTAAATCAACAAATTTTAGTGAGATGCTTTGCTGGCTGCAGTCAACGGATTTTCCAAAACAGCTGGCCCCAAAACAAAGGATGATTTTAAAAGTTCTGCACATGCTTGATCAGTATGTGGGCCCACTAATTTACATACCTACTGGACTCTTAACAGGCCTTGAATCATGCCAAAATTTGAGATTTATAATTTGAAAATTCCTTCAATTTCCTTTTACTTCAATTAAGGACCTGATAGCATTGGAGAAACAGTTTGCAGACTGAAGCGACTAGCTTTACAGTAATTTGCATTTACTTAGCATCTTTCATGTAAAAACACCTCAAAAAGCTTGCCAAATGTAATGGTGGACAATGAGCTAAGATTTAATTCCATGCCAATAGCCTGGTCTCTTTTGGACTTGGAGATACTGATAACACAAGCAAAATGGGAGCCAGGTGACACTGCGTTTCCACCATACTTATTTGTTTTCCTGCACATATTGCAATTGCTTTCTGCAGAGGAAGCAAGTGCTTACTGCCAGTTATTTACTACCTACAAAGGCCCCATAAAACTTTCAACACTTGAGCCCTGTGCCAATCGCAGCAAATTACTCTACATGTGTGCAGAGTACATTATTCCTCCATCTCTGTAATGTACAATAATAGTACTGCATATTCCCAACATTGCAGGAGATATTTTCTTGTAAGGATTCATTTTCCACTAACTTGGCTGAAAATCAACAACTTTAACAACCATGGGACGATGTAAGCTAAGAAACACTTAGCTCATTTTCACAACATACATCACTGTAGTTGAGTGTGAGCAAAAACCTAGGAATGTCAGTTTGCCTTAAGAGTGGATAGGACCCATTTTCATGAAATAATCATCTACCAGATAAGCAACCCCTTTCAATCAAACGGGCAATAAAAAATACTATTTGGTTTGTTTTGGAAAAAGGCTCCACACTGATTGTTTTCACCTGTGGAAAAGATTGCATAAATTGCATGATTTGTACTGGAGAATCACTGTGTATTTGGCAGGTTTAGGACTGTAGCTCATGGATCTCGGCACGTAATCGATTCCCAACAATGGAACAGAAAGGAGAACAATCGTAAACATAACTCTTGCTGTCCCCAGACAGAGCCTAACATGGTGCAAACATAACAATTTAAAAGGGAAGCATGGAGTGATTGTAGTTTCACAACGAAACACTGATAATGTTGCTTACAAGAATCATATGGTAGAGTATTATGAGAGAAATAACTGTACTGCAGACAGGAAAACAAACAGAAAGGAAGGAAGCTACACGAATAAAATCCAATGTAGAGCAGTGTTATTTCTCACTAAACTACTTTAGCTTACATTCCACTGATTGCATCACATACTATATTTACCTCCAGCAAAGGCATCAGCAGGCAGCAACTGAAGGGAGCTACCACATCCCCTTTCAATCCTCCATTTTAATGTCAAACTATTGTCTCACTTAAGATTTCTTCAGCGGACATGTTTAGGAAACTGGAGCAATGGAGCAAGTCCACTCGAGTCACCTTCGGAGATTGGAACTGCAGAGTCCACAGCACAGTAACAGGCCTTCATTTCACTAGCATCAACAGTGCCACCCAAATCCCACTCACTCAAAGCTTGAACTTTGTTTAAAAGTTAGGATACAACTGTAACTAGGTTGAGGGAAGAGTTTTAAACCCTTAAAAGGTGGTTAACTACTACGGGGTCGATTGGTCTACAGCCCTCAGATAAACCACACCCATCAGTAACAAAAAGGATTCATTAGTCAGTTTCCCACAACTGGTTAAATGTCTATATTTCACTACTGTATCTTCAAATTTTCCTCAATTAGTACCCAAATGCACTGACATATGAATCTGATCCATTTTGATACAATCCCAACTCACTTCCTATGATCTTCTTGAAATCTGGGGATATTTCAAGTTAACAGAGGAGAAAACACTATCCAGATTCCCCTCTCAGTGGACATTCCCTCAAAATACCTTGCCTGCATCTAACATTTTGAGAGACTTTTATAGAAAAGCAACTTTGCATTTGCAAGCTGGTCTGTTTTCAGTGGGTACAGCTATAGTTCCAGGTTTACCACAATTAGTCACTGGCTAAAAAAATGCCTGATTCCCAAATTGTACTGAACTTGGCATAATGTTAAAACAGAAAGTGCTGGAAATCCACAGTTCGATCAAAACACATTTCAGATGTGAACGGATTGTGAAAAAAAGGGTAATGCACCAAAATATTTATGAGGCACTTTTCAGCCACAGATTCACGTGATAATTTCCAGCATTTTCTGCATGTACTTCAGATCTGCAGCATTCAGAGTTCCTTTTGTATGTCAACTATGGGATGCGTTAGTCAACAGTCAACTGGAGGTCGGTGTGGGGGTGGGGGCTTTGTAGCCATGTACCTGGGAAAGGGGGAGCCCAAGAACTGGACCTGGAAACTGGACCTAGGGCTAAAGAACACAAGAAGTTGCTGGGCCAAAGAAGACCAGGATCTATTCATTTCACCTTCCTGGCAGTCACTTGACATGCCGTGTCCCGAACTATGTAATGAATCCTGAGATATTATTTGCTAACAGGAGGGGATGGGTGGGGGGGGGGGGGGACGAGTGATGACAACAACAATAATAATCGTCGCACTTGATACAATGCCTTTTTCGTGTCTCAAGAGATAATATGTACACAATAATAATGATGCTCGCGTCTGACAGAGCGCATTATCACAACAGGTTGAGACGTCTCACGAGCGCTTCACGGAATGTACTGTGGTGAAGTGGAGTTGACTGGTGGATTGCGTGGGCGAAAGATGGGGGGGGGGGGGAGTGGGGGAAGGATGGACCTGGGTGATGGGGAAAGGGGGAACGGAAGATCCAGGGCATTGATATATATATATATGAAAAAGAATCCCCTTACCCAGCAGCAGAAGTTTGACTTCCCGAGACGATTTCTCGCCGTCCTCCCGCAGGTTCCGATCGATCATTTTGCTCCTCTCCACCGCCGCCTTGTCCTCGGCGCTCATGGTGCAGCCCATGGTGGCGTCCGGGGTGGGGTGGGTGGGTGTGTGAGGGTGAGAGTGAGAGAGAAAAAAAAACGAGGAGAAGAAGAAGAAGAAGAAGGAGGAGAAGAAACCCTTTCTCTCTCTCTCTCTCTCTCTGTGGCGACGGACACCCAACGGTTTTTAGGCCTCAGGCCTCGACCCTCGCATCCTTTTTTTTTCTTCTTCTTCTTCCTCCTCCTCCTCCTCCTCCTTCCCGCCCCACCGTCTCCTCCTCCTCCTCCTCCCGCCTCACCTCACACTCGCCAAAAGAAAAAGAAAGAAAAAAAAGAAGCGCGCGCGGGCGGGGCCCAAGGATGGCCTTTCCCGCACTTCCCCCCTCGTTCTCTCTTCCCCACCTCAGAAGGCGGCGGCGGCGTCGTCGTCTTCTTCTTCTCTCACCACATCCGTCCCCTCCCCTCAAAAAAAAAGAGGCTTTTATCCTTCACAAAGCGACGACGAGAAGGAGGAGGAGGAGGAGGAGAAGAAGAAGAAAGCGGCGCCGGAGTCCCTCGAAGAAGCGGACAATTCTCTCTCTCTCTCTCTCTCTCCCGTCACTCGCGCTTCGGTGTGTGTGTGTGTGTGTGTGGGGAGGGGGTGGTGGGTGAGGGGGGGCTTTTTCCCGCCCTCCCCTCGCTCACTCGCTCGAGCCGCGGCGGTTACTGTTCGAAAAAAAGGGAGACGGGCGCGAGCGAGCGACAGACACCACAGGAAAAACACTCTCGGCCGTCCTGCCGCCGGAACCGGAAATGGCGCCGCCGCCCCTGCCTCGCCCACGCCCCCCCCCCCCCCAGCCTGGGCGCTAAGCCTGCCGGGAGCTGTAGTTCCCGCCCCTGTAGTTCGCTCGCGCCTGACAGTTCAGTCAGTGGCGGTTGGAACAGCAGCGGCAGCGACACCCGCCGCCGCCGCCACCACAACAACAACTTCGACTACTACTCGCTCACAACCGCTGGCGCCCGGCCGAGAAGGAGAGGGAAAGTAAGTGGAAGCGACGGAGGGAGGGAGGGAGGGAGGGGTGCGGAGAAGGAGTGGAGGGAGATGGGGCAGGGGAGCGAGGGAGGGGAGGACGAGGGAGGGAAGGATGAGGGAGGGGAGTGAGGGAAGGATGAGGGAGGGGAGTGAGGGAAGGATGAGGGAGGGGAGTGAGGGAAGGATGAGGGAGGGGAGGGAGGGAAGGATGAGGGAGGGGAGGGAGGGAAGGATGAGGAGGGGAGGAGGGAAGGATGAGGAGGGGAGGGAGGGAAGGATGAGGGAGGGGAAAGGATGAGGGAGGGGAGTGAGGGAAGGATGAGGGAGGAAGGATGAGGGAGGGAAGGATGAGGGAGGGAAGGATGAGGGAAGGAAGGATGTGGGAGGGGAGTGAGGGAAGGAAGGATGAGGAGGGAGGGAGGGAAGGATGAGGGAGGGGAAGGATGAGGGAGGGGAGGAGGGAAGGATGAGGGAGGGGAAGGATGAGGGAGGGGAAGGATGAGGGAGGGGAAGGATGAGGGAGGGGAAGGATGAGGGAGGGGAAGGATGAGGGAGGGGAAGGATGAGGGAGGGGAAGGATGAGGGAGGGGAGTGAGGGAAGGATGAGGGAGGATGAGGGAGGGGAGTGAGGGAAGGATGAGGGAGGATGAGGGAGGGGAGGGAGTGAGGGAAGGATCCCACGACTGCTTTGTGTGGGACGCTGCCGTGCGCAATTGGCTGCCGCGTTTCGCCCACGCAACCTACAGTCAACTCACTTTATAGTATATCCTGTGAAGCGCCTTGAGACGTCTCGAAGATGTGATAAGGTGCTATATCAAATGCAAGGATTGTTATATATTTTACCCATGAGTTTGCACATGTCCATCCCGGCCGCTCCCAAAGTAACAAATCTTACGCTCCTCCCCATTGCTCACCATCTCTGAGTCAGTTTCTTCATCAAACGTCAAATGTCAGCCTTTTTACCCGTGAGCCCCATGTGCCTAACCCATCCTCAGTGTTGTGTAAAGACAGTTGCAACACCAACGTGCACTTATACGTGTGAAAGAAAGAGCCTCAAGGGAGCTTGACAAAATAAGATGAATTAGTCATGAAGTGAATGTTGAGGAGGTAAAAGCCGGGACTAATTTTCCCCTGCAAATTCTTGTGCTTACATATAAACACCAATTGATAAACACCAATGTTTATCTTTAATTTGATTTTAATACTGTTAGGGACTTAAAACGTTAGGTTACAAGTGCATAAGTATATAATATAAGTATATCATATTATATTATATGATATAAGTATATTATATAAGTGTGCTGGAGCATCTCTGCACATCATTACCAAAAATATATTGACAGACACTATACGGTTTTGGTGATAATATGCAGAGAAAACCAGGACTGTTGGGTAGGATTGTATATGTATGTGAACGTATGGATATTAATGTGTGCGCGCGTCTTAATATATGCACGCATGCGTTGGTGCGGAGCAAGGGAACAAACCTCATCTCAAACTTCCTCTTTGAGTGATTCAGGTCCAGTCAGTTGCAAATTAAATCAGGAAGTTCTTTCTTTCAGAGTTTTGAAGACGAAATGTGGTATACAACTCAACAGTAGAAAGAAATGGTGCTTCGGTGAGCTTGACTTGCTCTTTCTTTTAACGCTCAAGCTGCCTTTTCAGTAGGAAGCGATGAGAGCTGCCACACAGCAGACGTTGTTCTCTTCGCTCCTGATGGACATCAGCTTGATTCTTCTCTTCACTTCTCTCGCAGGTGAGTGACACCCGGAGCTGAGCAGCCAGATGTTCCGAGTCTCATCAACCTCCAGGTTTACGTTGTGGCTCGTGTCTGTAAGTCTTTCTCCGCAATAACTTGTTACAAATGAACCTTTGAAATGTTTGTTGTGATAAACTAGTTTATTACTAAATAGAAACAATTAAAAAATTTTGTCTAAGACTCAGCAGGAAAAATGCAACTTTACTGTACACGTATCAAATGGACACGCACCTCTTCTGTAATAATAAACAATGAAAGTAAAACTATTTGATGTGGATCGATGGTACTATATTTTCAACAACACCCACTGGCCGATGTATTGGCTGAACTGAGCAGCAGTTTTAATGCAACCTTTGTTCTCAAAATACAAGTTATAAGTTACTTTGCAATCCTTGGTCTCAGTATTTGACCAATTTGAGATCAGCTTTGGTTGTCACTGTTAGTGCCTCCTCCTCAACTAGATGCAGAACAACAACTTGCATTTATATAGCAACCGTCACACCAGCAGCATCTCGGGAGTGCTTAAACTGCAATACAATAATAATAAGAATCCTTGCATTTGATATAGCACCTTATCATGTCTTCTAGACATCTCAAAGCGCTTCACAGAATATATTGTAAAGTGAATTGACTTTTAACAGCTGTGCCCAGCCTCAGTGATCAATGCTTAAACCCCAATCACAATACACAAGACATTTAACTGTATGGATAAGAGCAGTGGTGCACACAGTCTGTACACATTTGGGAATCTTTTACTGAAGGATGCGCTTGTATTAAGCAGTTATAGTTCGATTTGTGACATTTTGTCTATAGATTCAGGTGGATTATGGGCAGAAGCTGAAGTAACAGGAGTTGTGGGACGAGCGATCACAATAGACTGTCGATATGGTAAGCAGACGTACTCGCGACACAGGAAATATTGGTGTCGGGGGCACTTTCGCTCCACTTGTAAAGTTGTAATTGATACAAGAGCCGACAATGGACAACGAGGAAATTTCTCAATCGTAGATAACGCCAGAGACGGGGTATTTACTGTAACTATGAAGAATCTCAACACGAGAGATACAGGATGGTATTGGTGTGGTATTGATAAGCTTGCCAACGATCGAATGTTTGCTGTAAAACTACACATATCTGACGGTAAGCTGTCTGAGCTATTGATTCTTATTTTAATGTGTAAAACTTGTATGTGAGAGTATTCAGGACAATATAATGTTTGTGTAAAGCTACTCATATCTGACCACACTTTAAACTATTTTCATTTGACTGATAAATTTTGCGAACAATGTATAAACTCAGCAAGTGTCCAGCTCCTCAGCACTTCTGTTAGTTGCACTCTCACTTCTGGGTCAGATGGTTACGGCTTCCAGCTCAATATTGGGGCTTTGAGCTCACTGTCTGGGCTAAACCCCCAGGATGACACTGTGGGGAGTGCTGCAGTATCGAAATTGCAGTCCTTTGGATGAGAGGTTAAATCACAGTTGGATCTCCTTGTTCAGATGAATGTTAAAGATCCAATGACGCTATTTGAAAGCAGAAGAAGCTCTTTCTAATTTAAGACAAGTCAGATTACATGAAAAGTTATTTCTCTCTTCTATGGCCACCTGTAAAGAGTACCGTTGCAGAAATTGGAATCTGTCAGCCTGTGACTGATTGCTTCTTTCCCCACAGCGCCCGTGTCTATGCCTGTAATTAGATTTTTATCAGCACCCACTGCCTCATGTTCGGAAGGTTATGTCTCCATCTCCTGTGAGACCATCAATGGATCCCTTCCCATTCAGTATGAATGGTACAGAGAGACAGAGAATGAAGCTTTAGAGATCTCTCACAGCAACAAACTAGACATACAATGCATCTCCACCGCCCAGTGTCACCAGTACTACTGCACAGCCTCAAATAGCAAAGGAAAACAATCCAGTGAAAATGTTGAAGTCTCAGTCTTACAACCTGTACAGACAGCCTGCAGTTGCTCCGTACAAATCAACATTCCTGGTAAGTGCTCCTTTATAAAGACACTGGAATTGCCTAATATATCTACTGTATATTTATTTACCTATATGAGAACTGACTGAATTTAAAGCAGGGAGCCTCTCCTGGTGTCCTGGCCACCAATCCCCAAATATGATTACACTTCATGGCTGCTTGTGAGACATTGCTGTGCACAAAATAGCAGGTGCGTTTCACCCATAAGCTACACAATCAACTGAGAAATTGTCTACACTGTACATTTTGCACTTGGATTTCACGCGCTGAGATTCCACTTGTTTGTTAACCAACAGTGTTAACCAAATTGCTGTGCGCAATTGGCTGCCGCCTTTGTCCACAAATATACAGTCAATTCACTTTACAGTGTGTTCTGTGAAGCGCTTTGGGACGTCTTCCAGACGTGAAAAGCGCTATATCAAATGCAAGGATTATTATTATTATTATTATTTAAATTTGCCACGTTTTATTTTGGTGATTATCCTGCCTAATGCACACCTTCCACAAACTTAAGAGTAATAATATTGAGCAGCAGCAGCGGGTCAGTGAGCCTGACCTCCAGTTTCACACACATTGTGGCTCAGCCCTGCTCTGTTTGTGAGCACAACATCCCAGACCTTAATCGTTGAGAGGATCATAGAGCTAAGGCCAATGAGCTAAAGTCAATTTCTAGCCAGACTTGTTCTGGTCTCAGATTTGGGGGGGTAATTTAATTGATTCTCGAGAGAAAATTCTGAAACTTTGAAATAACAAGATCAACCACAGATGACATTTACACACCACCTTCACATCGGGAGTTCGTCCCAAGGCACTGGACAGTCAGAGATTTGGAGCCAAGCAGGAGCCTGGGATCAGGAGGGGTGGAGGGTAGGGGTAGGAGGGTGACTGAAGGTGCGATGGAAGAGGAGATTCTTGAGACATGCCTTGACGGAGGCAAGGGAGGGAGTGAGGCAAAGGGATTGTGGTATGGAGTTCCAAAGGTTGGGGGCAGAGAGGCTGAAGGCCGGTGGTGGGACAGTAAATTAACAGTATAAATGGCGAGTGCATTAGTACTAATGTCCCGTGCTGACCAATATGGTCACAATCACAGAGAAAGTGTTGTCTGTTTTTCAAGCCTGAGGTGCAGTTTGGTATCAAAGCTTTCTCCTGAGCAGCTATTGAGTAAATCTGAATTGTGTTCTTTCCCTTGAAAGGACATAAATATTCCTGTCCCGAGATCACAACCAAGCCAACATCAACTGCACATGTTCCAGCTGCAAGCATCTCCTCCACTGTCACACAAGCCACCTTCACGGCAACTGAAGGTGAACAGTACAGGTAGGAATGGAACTATCACCACATGTGTCTGGCCCTGGCATGTCAGCGAGTCTTGAAGGGGCAAACCGATCACTGAGAGCATGGATTCTTCTCACTCATCTACTTTTAACCCTGTAAACTAATGAATAGCGTGGTCCTAAACCAACCATCTGATGGATAGGGTGATCCTAACTGGAGAAACAGTGGGAAAACTGCCTTTCAGTACTTTCAGTGGTAAATTATGCACTTTTAGCTGATTAAACTCCAATATTTACCACAAACCTCGTCTCTCGCCAACTGGCAGCTAATAATCTCTGGAATTGGATAAACAGGGTGCGTCATTCCAGAGACAGAGAGAGAGAGAGAGAGTGCACATTCCATTACTCCCATAGGGACATTTCCATGTGTAGGTGGCATTCTCTCAGCCTGGTTTGGATACCCTTAAACACGGTGCTGGGTTTCCGCATGTGTCAGACACGTGGCTGCCCCCCCAAAAAACACAAAAGATTCTCACCAGCCATTCTGACATTAAGGTTTGAAAGTTGCAAAACGAGCCCTCCTCATTGTGTTATATTTCACAAACTTGGCAAAGAGTTGGGCGCTTCTCGAAAAGCGTTCCCACTTCCTGTTCTCTGCTCCGCAGGTTACTGTACATTGTGCTGGGAGTGCTGGGGCTGCTGCTGATTGCAGGCATTCTGTCTGTACTTTTGCTCAGGAAGCAAAAGCAAAAGAAAAAGCACGGTAGGTGTCTGGCTCATTAACATTTAATTATTTATATTGACATTTATATTAATTATGTCATTGTTGTCAAGTGGCTGCCCAAAACATATACAGTTAATTCACTTTACAGTATATTCTGTGAAGCGCTTTGAGACGTCTCGAAGACGTGATAAGGCGCTTTATCAAATGCAAGGATTATTATTATTATTATTATTAGGAAGTGGATGATTCTTGCCAACATTTCTCCTCTGTTTAAGATCTCCGCCTTCCTGTTTCAGGTAAAAGAACGGTTGGCTCACGTGGAGCAGGGAATGGTGATGAGGTAAGACGTTTAATATACGCTTTATGACGCCAAGAAAAGTTAAAACTGATGTCCTGGGGTCTGTCTACAAGTGGATGTTAAAGAACCACTATTCAAAAAGAGACAGGAGTTTCTCCCCATGTTTTGGCCAACAATCCGCCAGCTTAACTGGTCATTCACGTCCCGGCTGTTTGTGGGACATTGTGTGCGCAGATTGTGAAGCGAGCGATTTGAGACAGTGACATTATAGACGCGATTTCAATCGCAAAATTATTACTCAGTTCTATGCAAGCGTGACTGAGCATTGCATTGACTGGTGAAATTAATTTCAGCTTGAAAGCAATATTACATACGCAACTGTGCAGAAGAGGCAAGCTCGTTCTGTGGCTGGGAGCAGCGAGGGAGCCACATTTACTGGAGATGCCGACATCAATTACGCAGAAGTGCAGTTAGTTCAGAGATCGGCAGAGAGTGGAACACCAGCCACGCTCTCACCTGACACTGGCAACACCACCATTTACAGCAATATCATGGTTCAAAATCCACCGTCGCAGGACAGAAAGGAAAATTGGAATCGGTTGGAATCAACAGAATATGCTACAGTTGCACATTAGCAGCAAGAATAGTGATGGGTATGTGTGTGTGGTGGGGGAGAGGGAATGCAACCCATGATGTGCTATTGATCACAAGTCGCAATTTTCGCTATATTGATGCATCGCGATGTGGGGCAGGAGTAGCTCACAATGCCTTTATTCCCATTAGCCGTTTTTGGCTCCAGTAAAATGCGCAGGGCTTTATGCGGCAATCCTTTTATGTTATTTTTGTCGGACGTTCAGAGATGCTGCACTATTTGTGTCCAAACTGTCCACAAAAAAAAACATCACCCTGATGGGATTTCCTCTGTCTGGCTGAGCAGGTAGACACATGCTGCGGGATTTCCTCTGGCTCCAATTAAACAACTCAGGGGATCCCATGTGTGTGACCGGCATTGCCTAATGTAACGCTGCGCTGAATGTTTACGCCTTTCGCTGAGTTGAATAAAAGTCTCAACTTCTTGACTTTCAGTGTTCATTTGCCTCAATAGTTGGGGAAGTGGAGCTGTGGGCGGAGCCACCACAACAAGCTGTCCCTGATATTAACACACACACCGTTCACATGGGAAATCTTAGTGTCACATGTACCGTTGTGCTAGTTCTGAGGATTTAGTTGATACACATATGAGCAATGGATGACAAGAAAGAAAGTCAGTCACATACAGGTGCCTCCCTGCACCTAATACTTTCTGGGATTTCCACATGCAGGTGGGATACATGATCTCTGTCTAGTTCGAATGCCGTGAAGCACGATGATGGATTTGTGCGTGTGTCAGACACCCGGCTGATTATGGTGATGGGTTTCCGCATGTGTCAGACATGGGTTGGACACCTGGCTGACACCTGAAAATAAATTGTAGCCGAATATAACCAGCTTGGTTTCATTTTCTGAAATATACAGGAAGAGATCATCTAGATCACATGAATGCTCAATAGTCTACTGTGAGCTACTGCCAGTTCCTGAGCTTAACTCTGAAATTGATATCTGAAGACAAGGACAGAGCTAATCATGTTCCTGCCATTTTCGGTGCCTCCAATTCTCATTCCGTTGGCCTCTGCAAACCAAGTTGATCTACTCTTCACCCCAAAGAAAACATTGGCCATTGTGATTCTTCTCTATTCTTCTCTCTCAGGTGAGTGACAACCTGAACTGGGTTTTACCACTACTACAGAACCATAGAAACTTACAGCACAGAAGGTATCCATTTGGCTCATTGTATCTGTGCCGGTTCTTTCAAAGAGCAAACCTTTCAGTCCCAATTAGCTGCCTTTGCCCCCAACCCCCACCCCGTTCCCCATTCTCTGTAGTTTTTGCTGTGTGTGATTAGCTGCCACTGTTCACCAACAAAATGTTCAGTCAATTCATTTTACAGAATATTCCGTGAAGTGTTTTGAGATGTTTGCCAGGATTATTATTATTATTACTCCGGCAGTTTAAACAATTACCGGAACGTCATTTTATTTCTGCTTTTAAAATTGAACTTTTCTTTTGCAGCAAAAATGTGATGTAAAGTGTTCAGGTTACATTTTCATAAACTTAAAAATGGGTAATAAAAATAGTAATGGTGAAATAATAGTAATAATATTGCTTTCTTTCATTAATAATACAGTAACAGTATGATAATGCTTTCTTTTTTACTGCAAAATGTGGTGTAGAGTTTTAAGGTTAGGTTTTCACAGACAATACTAACAGTATAAGAGACAATAAATTTTGGGTCTCGTTTAAAAGATCAATTAAAATACTATCTGTAGAAAAGAGGCTAATTGTAGAAAAAGAGAATTGAAAGTTTCTAAATTTGTTCCTGTGAAATAGGAAGTGAAACATTCTGTCACAAAAAACTCAAGGAAAATTAGAATTTGTGACAACTAGATTTTAAACTTCACAAAATAATGATTCTGTTTTTACAAAGGAAAACGAGTTATAAGATCAATTCATCTTACTGCTTGGGAAACAGTTAACTGTGAATTATTTTGTCGATGACAAGGTTACACGACTCAACAATAACTTGCATTAAAAGGGAAGTGGCACCTTCCTGTCTCTGGTCTGCTCACGCCTCACTGCACTAACCCCCGCCTTCGCTTAGCTGGCTCTGGTCTTTTGCACGTCGCGGCCATGCTTTCAGTTACTATGCCCCGAATCTCTTGAACTCCCTGCATCAATCCTTCCATCTCTCCTCCTCTTTGCCCATCTTCACCTGAAGACTTTCCTCTTGGCCTTTGCCTTTGCCTGCTGTCAACCCCTGCCCCCACCCCCTCTCTTCGCAGCTGAGACGATACCCACCTGAAGGATGCTGTATATATGCAAGTTGTTGTTACTGTTGTTGTTTGTTATATAGCACTTTTCACGTAGGATAGCGTCTCAGAGCACTGCAAACTAACAGGTACTAGATGTCAAACTATATCCAATGGAAACAGTCGTTACATAGAATTATTACGTTTGGCAAACAAAATACACAGTCACTCCACTTTACAATAACGTGATAAGACGCTATATCAAATGCAAGGATTATTATTATTTTCATTGCAGTGAATATTGCATGGAAATGGGCCATTCAGCCCAACAAGCCTGTTTATATTCAAAATGAGCCGCAATCCTCCTTATCACCTCTCTCAGATATAGGTTTGTTACAGTGAAAAAGGAAGTGAAACATTTGTGTAAATGTTTGACTCTTCATCTCCAACGTACTCCTCCCTCTCTCTTTCTCTGGCCCTCATTGATAGCTTTTTGGTCATGTCCCCCCCCCCCCATTTTAATGTTTGGCTACCATTGCCTTGGCACCACTAACTCTCTGAGCCATTGTGAGGAAGAACCAGGGTCCTCAAATCAACAGCGTCCCGACCTGGCACCACTGAGCTGGAAATCACAGAGAAAATTAAATGTGGTGACTCAGTGTATTCAGGCATTTGTTCGGGAACGGAGATTAAATCAAACACCAGTGGCTTTTTGTTTTTGTAACACAGCAACAACAACAACAACAACAACAAGATTACATTTGTATAGAGCCTTTCACGTCAGGAGGACGTCCCAAGGCGCTGGATAGAATTATTACGTTTGGCCAACAAAATACATAGTTACTCCACTTTACAATATATTCTGTGAAGCACCTTGAGATGTCTCAATGACATGATAAGGCGCTATATCAAATGCAAGGATTATTGTTAGAATAATAGTTACCAGTGAAACTGAAATGTGTTGCTTTGTCTTAATAGGAAACTGCTATCTTTACGAACAGCTTTCAACTCCATTATCCAGCCTCACACCAATCAATCCCCCCCAAAACAACTCCACAGCAACCAGTCTGCCAACATCCAGCCCCTCAACCATAAGCCCCGAAACCTCAAGCCCCCAAACTTCAAGCCCCCAAACCTCAAGCCCCCAAACCTCAAGCCCCCAAACTTCAAGCCCCCAAACCTCAAGCCCGCAAACCACAAGCCCCCCAATATCCAGCCCCACCACTGGACATCCCACAACTATAAGACAACAGACCATTGCTTACTCAACAAGGCCACAAGACAAAGAATCCAAATGTGAAAGCAGCAGGTATGAAACTTACTTTCTTAGAATTGGGTAGGTCAAAGAACTCGTACCACAGATAAAATGTTCTTTAATAGCTGTGGGGGCGGGAGGAGGCAATGACAATTTCATCAGTCATTTGAAATAGAATGAATTGGACCGGAAATGTCAGCTGAGAGCTTCTGAGTAATGGTGGCGGTACATCAAAAGCAAGGATTGTAATCAGCACGTGTGAAAGCTTTTTATCGGGTTCTGCGTCTTGTTGCAGAGTTATAAATAGTATTTTTCTACAAACATTTCCTTCCAATCGTTCTAACCTTCTACAAATGGAGTAAAGAGTTGAGCCTTTTGACACAGTGTACTTACTGACTACTTCCTGTTTCTTTGCTCTGCAGTTCTCCATACATTGCACTGGGAGTTCTGGGACCACTGCTAATGCTCTGTGTTCTGTCTGTTCTTTTGAAAAAGCATGGTAGGTTTTTAAATCTCTCAACGTTTTGCCTGCGTTTTGCTCACGAAATACACAGTCAATTCACTTTAGAGTATATAGTGTGAAGCACTTTGAGACGTCTTGACGACGTGATAAGGCGCTATATCAAATGCAAGAATTATTATTATTATTATTAGTGTTTACTTACCAACAGAATATCTTTGCCCCTAAACTGGAGTTGTGATAGAGCTCAGACATTGGGCAGAGTGGGAGCAGGCCGGGAGGCTTCATATATTGTAAAAAGGAATGCATATACAGGATGTGGGGAAAAGACAGGGCTAAATGGATTGCTCTCCCATGGGTGATTATATGATTGATACAAATCAAACATGTGCATTTTTTAATGTTGTGTCACTCCTCTATTCACACAACGTGTGATTAGAAAAAAAATGCTCTTTTCACCAATAACATTATAACAACAAAAACAACTTGCGTTTATACAGCGCCCTTCACGTGGGGTAAACTTATTGTTTTTCAGGTAAAATGCAGCTCGGATTGGGCACAGCACACAAGGCTCTTCGTGACAGTCAAGTAAGAGCCTGATAGTAGGGTTTTACTGTTAAATTCATTGTCTGCTTGTTTGTCGGTGTGTCAGTGATGATCACGAGACCTCCTGTAAGGCCTCGTTAACGGCTGTACTTTATTTCAGTGTTTAAGGGAGTCTGAATTCAATGTCACATACGATGATGTGGAGAAGAGACAGGCCCACTCGGTGGTCAGGGACAGTGAGGGAGCCTCGCCTTTATTTGGTGGAGATGACAACATCACATACGCAGAAGTACAGTTTGGCCGGGAAACGTTGTTGGAGAGTGGAGACGAATGTCCAGTTGGCTCGGACACCAACACAACATACGCCACCATCAAGTTTTTCCAGCCTCCAAAGACATTTGATCAGTCGAAATCAGTGACGGACACTGTCGAAAATAATGATAATCCTTGCATTTGATACAGCGCCTCATCATGTCGTTGAGATATCCCAAAGCACTTCACAGGATATACTGTAAAATGAATTGACTGCGTATTCTGTGGGCAAAACTCGGCAGCCAATGCACACAGCAGTGTCCCACAAACAGTCGTGGATTGAGTGACAAAATGATTATTATAGTTTTTGGAGGGGTTCCTTACTCCCGAAAAGCGATTTGCCAATTAACTGGGTTCCTACCAACTGCTAGGTAAACAGCGTGTGGAGTAAGGAAACTTGCCCTAGGTTTCGTCCCACCTGGGAATCAAAACTGGGTCCTCTTCCTTGCGAGGCAAGTGCTCTAACCACTACGCTCCAGAACTCCAAATTCCCTTTAACTTAATGCTTGCTTATCTCTGAGCTCTTTCAGCCTTGTAATCACATGTCACATTAAGGTGTCAGCCTGGCTCAGTGGGGAGCAATCTCACCTTTTCTTGATGCTTTGCTGGACACTTGTCACATTTCCTTTCTCTAGGCCCCAGGTAATACTGCTTGATTTTTTAGCCAAGTCTGTTCAGAATGTGCATAGTCAGAGTGTTATGTAATACAGTACTTAACAGTCAACAGTTTGCAAAATTACAGTCGATAATGTGTAAAGATGGTGAATTATATATGTCCTTAAATAAATATAACCATTTGTTCACATTGGGAATGTGACCTGTGTTCCATTGGAACTCTCGGGGGTATTAGTTACGACAAATGTAGAAGTTCATAACCGTGATCAGCCGGGTTTCTGACACACAGAAACCCATCACCGTGATCAGCCGGGTTTCTAACACACAGAAAACCATCACAGTAAGCAGCCGGGTGTATGATACAAGCATGACCCCATCTCGATGCTTCATATATGCCATCTGGACATGGATATTCCTGTTAAATCCTGATAATCTATTTCCAGAGAGGCACCTGTATGTGATTGGCTTTCTTTCTTGTCATCGATTGAACACGTTTGTATTTTTGTGACAACTATGTCCTCAGAACTAACGCAATGGGACACATGACACTAAGATGTGAACGGTGTGTGTGTTAATATCAGGGACAGCTTGTTGTGGTGGCTCCGCCCACAGCTCCACTTCCCCAACTATTGAGGCAAATGAACACTGAAAGTCAAGAAGTTGAGACTTTTATTTAACTCAGCGAAAGGCGTAAACATTCAGCGCAGCGTTACATTAGGCAATGCCGGTCACACACATGGGATCCCCTGAGTTGTTTAATTGGAGCCAGAGGAAATCCCGCAGCATGTGTCTACCTGCTCAGCCAGACAGAGGAAATCCCATCAGGGTGATGTTTTTTTTTGTGGACAGTTTGGACACAAATAGTGCAGCATCTCTGGACGTCCGACAAAAATAACATAAAAGGATTGCCGCATAAAGCCCTGCGCATTTTACTGGAGCCAAAAACGGCTAATGGGAATAAAGGCATTGTGAGCTACTCCTGCCCCACATCGCGATGCATCAATATAGCGAAAATTGCGACTTGTGATCAATAGCACATCATGGGTTGCATTCCCTCTCCCCCACCACACACACATACCCATCACTATTCTTGCTGCTAATGTGCAACTGTAGCATATTCTGTTGATTCCAACCGATTCCAATTTTCCTTTCTGTCCTGCGACGGTGGATTTTGAACCATGATATTGCTGTAAATGGTGTGTTGCCAGTGTCAGGTGAGAGCGTGGCTGGTGTTCCACTCTCTGCCGATCTCTGAACTAACTGCACTTCTGCGTAATTGATGTCGGCATCTCCAGTAAATGTGGCTCCCTCGCTGCTCCCAGCCACAGAACGAGCTTGCCTCTTCTGCACAGTTGCGTATGTAATATTGCTTTCAAGCTGAAATTAATTTCACCAGTCAATGCAATGCTCAGTCACGCTTGCATAGAACTGAGTAATAATTTTGCGATTGAAATCGCGTCTATAATGTCACTGTCTCAAATCGCTCGCTTCACAATCTGCGCACACAATGTCCCACAAACAGCCGGGACGTGAATGACCAGTTAAGCTGGCGGATTGTTGGCCAAAACATGGGGAGAAACTCCTGTCTCTTTTTGAATAGTGGTTCTTTAACATCCACTTGTAGACAGACCCCAGGACATCAGTTTTAACTTTTCTTGGCGTCATAAAGCGTATATTAAACGTCTTACCTCATCACCATTCCCTGCTCCACGTGAGCCAACCGTTCTTTTACCTGAAACAGGAAGGCGGAGATCTTAAACAGAGGAGAAATGTTGGCAAGAATCATCCACTTCCTAATAATAATAATAATAATAATCCTTGCATTTGATAAAGCGCCTTATCACGTCTTCGAGACGTCTCAAAGCGCTTCACAGAATATACTGTAAAGTGAATTAACTGTATATGTTTTGGGCAGCCACTTGACAACAATGACATAATTAATATAAATGTCAATATAAATAATTAAATGTTAATGAGCCAGACACCTACCGTGCTTTTTCTTTTGCTTTTGCTTCCTGAGCAAAAGTACAGACAGAATGCCTGCAATCAGCAGCAGCCCCAGCACTCCCAGCACAATGTACAGTAACCTGCGGAGCAGAGAACAGGAAGTGGGAACGCTTTTCGAGAAGCGCCCAACTCTTTGCCAAGTTTGTGAAATATAACACAATGAGGAGGGCTCGTTTTGCAACTTTCAAACCTTAATGTCAGAATGGCTGGTGAGAATCTTTTGTGTTTTTTGGGGGGGCAGCCACGTGTCTGACACATGCGGAAACCCAGCACCGTGTTTAAGGGTATCCAAACCAGGCTGAGAGAATGCCACCTACACATGGAAATGTCCCTGTGGGAGCAATGGAACGTGCACTCTCTCTGTCTGTCTCTGGTGTGACCCACCCTGTTTATCCAGTTCCAGAGATTATTAGCTGCCGGTTGGCGAGAGACGAGGTCTGTGGACCCCAATGGGATAAGTGTTGGAGTTTAATCAGCTAAAAGTGCATAATTTACCATTGAAAGATTGAAAAGTAGTTTTCCCACTGTTTCTCCAGTTAGGATCACCCTATCCATCAGATGGTTGGTTTAGCACCACCATATTCATTAGTTTACAGGGTTAAAAGTAGAGGAATGAGACGAATCCATATTCTCAGTGATCGGTTTGCCCCTTCCAGACCCGCTGACATGTCGGGGTTTGACACATGAGGTGATAATTCCATTCCTACCTGCCCAATCCACCTTCAGTTTTGGCTTCAGTTGTGATGGTGAAAGAGTTGCTTGCAGCTGGAACATGTGCAGTTGGCATTGACTTGGTTGTGATCTCGGGACTGGAAAATTCAGTTCCTTTCAAGGGAAAGAACACAATTCAGATTTGCTCAACAACTGCTCAGGAGAAAGCTTTGATACCAAACTGCACGTCAGGCTTGAGTAAGAAACAACACTTTCTCTGTGATAGTCATGGTGCTGGTCAGCAGGGAGTGTCAGTACTGATGCACTCGCCATTGATTCTCTTAATTTATTGCCACACCATCTCCGGGCCTTCAGGCTCTCTGTCCCCACGGTTTGGAATTCCATCTGACAGTCCCTTCACCTCACTCCCTCCATTGTCTCTTTCAAGGCACGTCTCAAGACCCTCCTCTTCGATCACGCCTTCGGTCACCCTCCTACCCTCTTCCCTCCGTGCCCTCCACACTCCCTTATCCCAACCTTCAGCTCAACCTTCCCTGACTGTTCAGTGCCTTGGGACATCGTCCCTGTCATGGACTGGTTAGTGGTCACCCATTTAGCGCAGCGGACAAAATAGAGTGAGTTTCTGCAGTGCGGTCAATTGCTCAGTTGAGTCGCTATCTTCTGGGTAAAACCAGCAGCTATTTTGTGCACAGCAATGTCCCACAAGCAGCCGTGACATTTAATTGTATTTGGGGATTGTTGGCCAGGACACCAGGAGAGGTTCCCTGCTTTAAATTCAGTCAGTTCTCATATAGGTAAATAAATATACAGTAGGTGTATTGAGCAATTCCAGTGTCTTTATAAAGGACTTACCAGGAATGTTGATTGGTACTGAGCAATTGCAGGCTTCCTGTATTAGCTGTAAGACCGACTCTTCAACCATTTCACTGGATTCAGTTCCTTTGCTATTTGAGGCTGTGCAGTAGTATTGGGGACACTGGGCGGTGGAGATGCATTGTATGTCTAGTTTGTTGCTGTGAGAGATCTCTGAAGCTTCAGCCTCTGTCTCTCTGTACCATTTATACCGAATGGGAAGGGATCCACTGATGGACTCACAGGAGATGGAGACATGACCTCCTGAACATGAGTCAGTGAGTGCTGATACAAACCTAATTACAGGCACAGACACAGACTCTGTGGGGAAAGAAGCAATCAGTCACAGGCCGACAGATTCCAATTTCTGCATCCGATCCCTTTACAGGTCATCGTAGAAGAGAGAAGTCACTTTCCCTCGGAATCGGACTCGACTTATGAGCTGAATATGCGCCGAGTTTACACATTGTGTTAGTGAAGTGCATCAGTCACATTAAAGGGAATGGTTTAACGTACAGTCAGATGTGTGTAGCTTTCTGCAAAGGTTGTATTATCCTGGCTGGACTGACAGCTCACAGTTTTACACATTGAAATAAGAATCAACAGTCAGGTATCTTACCGTCAGATATGTGTAACTTTACAGCAACCATTGTATCAAAGCCAGGCTTATCAATCCCACAGTTATACCATCCTGCATCTCTCATGGTGAGATTCTCCATAGTTACAGTAAATACCCCGTCTCTCTTATCTGTGATTGAGAATCTTCCTCGTTGTCCGTTGACGGCTTTTGTATCAATTACATCTTCACAACTGGAGCGATAATACCCGTGACACCAATATTTCCTGTGTCCCGAGTACGTCTTTTTATCATATCGACAGTTTATTCTGATCGCTCGTCCCACAACTCCTGTTACTTTAGCTTCTGCCCATAATAGGTCTGAAACCAGAGACAAAACGTCACGAATCAAACGAACCACAACCGCTCAACAGAAACACATCCTTCGGTAAAAGATTCCCACTGTGTACAGACTGGTGCACCACTGCTCTTATCCATACACTGTGATTGGGCTTTAAGCATCGATCACTGAGGCTGGCGCTGATGTTATTGCTGTTTGTACTGTATCAGGTCTGGGAAAGAGGAACTGACCACCACACCCGAGGCTGATCTCTGGCGCCCCATCAAATTCTCTTTTCTTTTTCATCGTTTTCTGTTATTTAGTTTTCCCCCAAAAATATACACATTCAACCGACTTTACAGTGTATCCGGTGGAGCGCTTTGAGGCAGACGTCCCGATGACGTGATCAGGCGCGACACCGAACGCAAGGATTATTATAATCGTCGTTGGGAAAAATCTGTGAATTTCCCCCAAGGAGTTGAACAAATTCACACCATAAATACAGCGACCGTGGGTTACAGGCGTTAATTTGCTCTTTAGACAGTTTTGCAGAAATGAACAACAAATTTTTACATTTCTTCCTGTGTTACACAGGAACAGGAGGAGACCATTCAGTCCATCCGAGCCTGTTTCGCCCTTCTATTAGATTGTGGCTGATCTGTACCTCATCTCCAAGAAAAAGGGCTTGATTTTACAATGATTTTTTTGTTGTTCTTATTGTATTTGGGACCGATCTCAAACTGGTCAAATCCTGAGAATGTTCAGTGATAGTAACAGCGCTCAGACCAAGGTTTGCAAAGCAACGTCTAACTTGTATTTTGTCGAAAAGACTTGAAACGTTCACAAGATGCACACCTCAGGCCGGAGATCAGAGTGTGTCCGTGAGTAACGGGAAGTCATGAAACTACCAGTTTTTTTCTTTACCGAAATCTCAATACTGTTCAGCAATTGTTGGAAAATTTTGAGAGAGAAAGAGAGGGAGAGAGAGGGAGAGGGAGAGAAAAGGAAACATTTTTAACAACAGCTTTCAAACTGGCAACCAGTTCAACCATCAGAACATCTGGCTGCTCAGCTCCGGGTGTCACTCACCTGCGAGAGAAGTGAAGAGAAGAATCAAGCTGATGTCCATCAGGAGCGAAGAGACCAACGTCTGTTGTGTGGCAGCTCTCATCGCTTCCTACTGAAAAGGCAGCTTGTGTGTTAAAGGGAAGAGGAAGTCAAGCTCACGAAAGTGCCGTTTCTTTCTATCTTTGGGTTTTAAAAAATGCAGAAAGAAAGAACAAACTTCCTTAAATTAGTGGAGTCCTGTAGCTCAGTGGTTAGAGCACTCGCTTTGCAAGTGAGAGACCTGAGTTCAATCCCCGGCAGGTGAGGGCCAAACCTCAGGCAAGTTTCCTTACTCCACACAGAGCCTAATAATAATCCCTCCAAAACCAAAAACAATAATAAATTGGTCATTTTCAATCCACGACTGTTTGTGGGACATTGCTGTGCGCAATTGGCTGCCGCGTTCGCCCACAAATATACAGTCAATTCAGATTATAGTGTGTTCTGTGAAGCGCTTTGGGAAGTCCTCCCGACGTGAAAAGCGCTATATCAAATGCAAGGATTATTAGTATTATTATTAACAATTTGCAATGACCTGATGAAGATCACTCAACGACCAAGGGTCACCCAAAGTTTGATCCCCTCCCCTGCCACCAACACACGTGTGCACACACTAAGACAAGCACACATATTAATATACATACATAAACATATACATATACTTACATAAACAAAGATAATAATAAGAATCCTTGCATTTATATACAGTCCCACCCATTTCTGTCAAACTCAATTATGTTGAAATCCCACATATATTGACAACACAGGGAAGTTCTGGTTTCTTCTCTGCGTATCATTATGAAAAACATAGTGTCTGTCGACATGCAAATAAATTGCGTCACACTTACAGCCACAAACTCTTTGAGTCCCTGACAGTTTTCAAGACTTTTTTTTTAATCATGTTAACAGGCCCTTTTCCTCATGTGTGACATGTGAGTGAGTGTGACACATGTTAGGCTTCTAAATAAGATGTGTTGCATGTGCTGATCATAGTCTATAGTCTATTGTCAGGGTCTATACAATACTGAGGTTGGGTTAGGCACAGGAATAACATAGTGATAAGACGCTATACCAAATGCAAAGATTAGTATTATTATTATAAGCTCATGGGTAAAATAATAATAATCCTTGCATTTGATACAGAGCCTTATCACATCCTTGAGACGTCTCAAAGCGCTTCACAGGATACACTGTAAAGTGAATTGACTGTATGTTTTGTGGGCGAAACGCGGCAGCCAATTGCACACGGCAGCGTCCCACAGGCAGTCGTGGATTGAGTGAGCAAATGATTATTATTTAGAAGGGATTGTTACCCCTGGAAAAGTGATCCGCCAATCGATTAAAAGGCTGATAATTAACATTTGATGAAGAAACTGACTCAGAGATGGGAATAGGGTAAGATATGTTACTTTGGGAGCAGCCGGATGGACATGTGCAAATACACAGCCATTGATTCAGGTGTCGTTGTATCTTTTTATTATATGGAATTCATAGAAAAGACATTCAAGGTTTTCATGAACGATTCAGTAGAACAAACATTAATTTTTGTTTAAGAATAATATCAACATTGAGGAATATCGAAGCGGCGGCTGTGTCTGTTTGGCACAGTTAGTAACATCCTGGAGGGAGCTGCGTTTCCAGAAGTGTCGTCGTCCTTCAGATAAGGACATTAAGCCGAGGTCTCATCTACTTGTTCAGCTGAACGTCAAAGGCTCTGTGATCTTTCCATTAAGAGAAGACAGTTTCTCTCCGTGTCCTGGTCAACGATTCTCCAGCTATTTACCAGCCGATGCCTGTGTGTGGGACCTTGATGTGCATGTAATGACTGCTGCGTTGCACACCTCAAAGTAAAGTGCTTTGAGACGTTTTGATAATGAGCCATAATGAGCTATAAACATTGCAAATCCACGTGATCCGGATTTCTCACCGACCAGGTCGGATGCCCAGTGAGGATCTTATGGTGTTGCTCGGGTTCAGCTGAAAAAACAAATAATTAATCCAGAGATTTTATTGATGTGACTGTGTATCAAAAGGGCATTTTACTTATCAGTTTACGAGTGTGTTTTATTTTACTGATATTTCTGAATTTCTCAGAAAAAGTACCAACCTCCTCCACAGGGTGTAACTGAGCAAAACCACAGAACAAAACAGTCAGTCTTAAAAGAGACAGTATCCGCGTGTGCCAAACACCATCATTTTCCTCCGTTCTGACTGTAACCTTAATGCAAGAACGATCAGATATTGGGCTTTGGCTGCGGATTAGACTTTTGCTGTTGACGTTTTAGAGAAAAGTCTAAATGCAAATTAGAGATCCGAAACTCAACATAACCGGGGTTTATGGACCAGCAATCGTCTAATCTGGAGGTCCTACTGTTGGGCTCAGGGATGTCTTCTGTAGGATATTGCTTGAAGGCGTGAGTGATAATCAGGAGAGAGACAATCAGAAGAAGACAGGATGTATAAAAGGACACTGAGAGTGCGACACACATGTGGGTTGGAGTTTTGTGAGTTGAGAATAAAGTGTGAAGCTTTTGAAAAGTGATGTGTTTGAGGAAAGAGGATTGAGGCGCTCACTTTCTCCTGACGATTTTTAAGAGAATAATGGAGGAACCGTTGGGAAATATCCAGGGTGACATTTGTGTTCTGTGTGTTGGGCCCCGAGCCAATCGCCCCGACACGGTTCTCAGTCAAGGTTACAACAACAACAAGTTATATTTGTAAAGCGCTTCTCACGTTGGGAGGATGTCCCAAGGCACTGGAGAGTCAATGATTTTTAACAACACACACACAAGATGGAGGGTCAGAAATTGTGACTGTGATGTGATAATCATCACTCGTCCATTCCTACCTGTGTTGTTGACCTTTAGTTGCCATGATGGTGGCTTGTGTGACAGTGAACAGTAACCAATGTACATTAACGTACTGAGCAGAGAACAGGAAGTGGGAACGCTTTTCGAGAAGCGCCCAACTCTTTGCCAAGTTTGTGAAATATAACACAATGAGGAGGGCTCGTTTTGCAACTTTCAAACCTTAATGTCAGAATGGCTGGTGAGAATCTTTTGTGTTTTTTGGGGGGGCAGCCACGTGTCTGACACATGCGGAAACCCAGCACCGTGTTTAAGGGTATCCAAACCAGGCTGAGAGAATGCCACCTACACATGGAAATGTCCCTGTGGGAGCAATGGAACGTGCACTCTCTCTGTCTGTCTCTGGTGTGACCCACCCTGTTTATCCAGTTCCAGAGATTATTAGCTGCCGGTTGGCGAGAGACGAGGTCTGTGGACCCCAATGGGATAAGTGTTGGAGTTTAATCAGCTAAAAGTGCATAATTTACCATTGAAAGATTGAAAAGTAGTTTTCCCACTGTTTCTCCAGTTAGGATCACCCTATCCATCAGATGGTTGGTTTAGCACCACCATATTCATTAGTTTACAGGGTTAAAAGTAGAGGAATGAGACGAATCCATATTCTCAGTGATCGGTTTGCCCCTTCCAGACCCGCTGACATGTCGGGGTTTGACACATGAGGTGATAATTCCATTCCTACCTGCCCAATCCACCTTCAGTTTTGGCTTCAGTTGTGATGGTGAAAGAGTTGCTTGCAGCTGGAACATGTGCAGTTGGCATTGACTTGGTTTTGATCTTGGGACTGGAAAATTCAGATCCTTTCAAGGGAAAGAACACAATTCAGATTTGCTCAACAACTGCTCAGGAGAAAGCTTTGATACCAAACTGCACGTCAGGCTTGAGTAAGAAACAACACTTTCTCTGTGATAGTCATGGTGCTGGTCAGCAGGGAGTGTCAGTACTGATGCACTCGCCATTGATTCTCTTAATTTATTGCCACACCATCTCTGGGCCTTCAGGCTCTCTGTCCCCACGGTTTGGAATTCCACCTGACAGTCCCTTCGCCTCACTCCCTCCCTTGAGTCTTTCAAGGCACGTCTCAAGACCCTCCTCTTCGATCACGCCTTCGGTCACCCTCCTACCCTCTTCCCTCCGTGCCCTCCACACTCCCTTATCCCAACCTTCAGCTCAACCTTCCCTGACTGTTCAGTGCCTTGGGACATCCTCCCTGTCATGGACTGGTTAGTGGTCACCCATTTAGTGCAGCGGACAAAATAGAGTGAGTTTCTTCAGTGCGGACAATTGCTCAGTTGATTCGCTATCTTCTGGGTAAAACCAGCAGCTATTTTGTGCACAGCAATGTCCCACAAGCAGCCGTGACATTTAATTGTATTTGGGGATTGTTGGCCAGGACACCAGGAGAGGTTCCCTGCTTTAAATTCAGTCAGTTCTCATATAGGCAAATAAATATACAGTAGGTGTATTGAGCAATTCCAGTGTCTTTATAAAGGACTTTCCATGAATGTTGATTGGTACTGAGCAATTGCAGGCTTCCTGTATTAGCTGTAAGACCGACTCTTCAACCATTTCACTGGATTCAGTTCCTTTGCTATTTGAGGCTGTGCAGTAGTATTGGGGACACTGGGCGGTGGAGATGCATTGTATGTCTAGTTTGTTGCTGTGAGAGATCTCTGAAGCTTCAGCCTCTGTCTCTCTGTACCATTTATACCGAATGGGAAGGGATCCACTGATGGACTCACAGGAGATGGAGACATGACCTCCTGAACATGAGTCAGTGAGTGCTGATACAAACCTAATTACAGGCACAGACACAGACTCTGTGGGGAAAGAAGCAATCAGTCACAGGCCGACAGATTCCAATTTCTGCATCCGATCCCTTTACAGGTCATCGTAGAAGAGAGAAGTCACTTTTCCTCGGAATCGGACTCGACTTATGAGCTGAATATGCGCCGAGTTTACACATTGTGTTAGTGAAGTGCATCAGTCACATTAAAGGGAATGGTTTAACGTACAGTCAGATGTGTGTAGCTTTCTGCAAAGGTTGTATTATCCTGGCTGGACTGACAGCTCACAGTTTTACACATTGAAATAAGAATCAACAGTCAGGTATCTTACCGTCAGATATGTGTACCTTTACAGCAACCATTGTATCTCTGCCAAACTGATCAATCCCACAGTTATACCATCCTGCATCTCTCATGGTGAGATTCTCCATAGTTACAGTAAATACCCCGTCTCTCTTATCTGTGATTGAGAATCTTCCTCGTTGTCCGTTGACGGCTTTTGTATCAATTACATCTTCACAACTGGAGCGATAATACCCGCGACACCAATATTTTGTGTGTCCCGAGTACTTCTGTTCATCATATCGACAGTTTATTCTGATCGCTCGTCCCACAACTCCTGTTACTTCAGCTTCTGCCCATAATAGGTCTGAAACCAGAGACAAAACGTCACGAATCAAACGAACCATAACCGCTCAACACAAACACATCCTTCGGTAAAAGATTCCCACTGTGTACAGACTGGTGCACCACTGCTCTTATCCATACACTGTGATTGGGGTTTAAGCATCGATCACTGAGGCTGGCGCTGATGTTATTGCTGTTTGTACTGTATCAGGTCTGGGAAAGAGGAACTGACCACCACACCCGAGGCTGATCTCTGGCGCCCCATCAAATTCTCTTTTCTTTTTCATCGTTTTCTGTTATTTAGTTTTCCCCCAAAAATATACACATTCAACCGACTTTACAGTGTATCCGGTGGAGCGCTTTGAGGCAGACGTCCCGATGACGTGATCAGGCGCTATACCGAACGCAAGGATTATTATAATCGTCGTTGGGAAAAATCTGTGAATTTCCCCCAAGGAGTTGAACAAATTCACACCATAAATACAGCGACCGTGGGTTACAGGCGTTAATTTGCTCTTTAGACAGTTTTGCAGAAATGAACAACAAATTTTTACATTTCTTCCTGTGTTACACAGGAACAGGAGGAGACCATTCAGTCCATCCGAGCCTGTTTCGCCCTTCTATTAGATCGTGGCTGATCTGTACCTCATCTCCAAAAAAAGGGTTGATTTTACAATGACGATTTTTTGTTGTTCTCATTGTATTTGGGACCGATCTCAAACTGGTCAAATCCTGAGAATGTTCAGTGATAGTAACAGCGCTCAGACCAAGGTTTGCAAAGCAACGTCTAACTTGTATTTTGTCAAAAAGACTTGAAACGTTCACAAGATGCACACCTCAGGCCGGAGATCAGAGTGTGTCCGTGAGTAACGGGAAGTCATGAAACTACCAGTTTTTTTCTTTACCGAAATCTCAATACTGTTCAGCAATTGTTGGAAAATTTTGAGAGAGAAAGAGAGGGAGAGATAGAGAGAGATAGGGAGAGAAAAGGAAACATTTTTAACAACAGCTTTCAAACTGGCAACCAGTTCAACCATCAGAACATCTGGCTGCTCAGCTCCGGGTGTCACTCACCTGCGAGAGAAGTGAAGAGAAGAATCAAGCTGATGTCCATCAGGAGCGAAGAGACCAACGTCTGTTGTGTGGCAGCTCTCATCGCTTCCTACTGAAAAGGCAGCTTGTGTGTTAAAGGGAAGAGGAAGTCAAGCTCACGAAAGTGCCGTTTCTTTCTATCTTTGGGTTTTAAAAAATGCAGAAAGAAAGAACAAACTTCCTTAAATTAGTGGAGTCCTGTAGCTCAGTGGTTAGAGCACTCGCTTTGCAAGTGAGAGACCTGAGTTCAATCCCCGGCAGGTGAGGGCCAAACCTTGGGCAAGTTTCCTTACTCCACACAGAGCCTAATAATAATCCCTCCAAAACCAAAAACAATAATAAATTGGTCATTTTCAATCCACGACTGTTTGTGGGACATTGCTGTGCGCAATTGGCTGCCGCGTTCGCCCACAAATATACAGTCAATTCAGATTACAGTGTGTTCTGTGAAGCGCTTTGGGAAGACTCCCGACGTGAAAAGCACTATATCAAATGCAAGGATTATTAGTATTATTATTAACAATTTGCAATGACCTGATGAAGATCACTCAACGACCAAGGGTCACCCAAAGTTTGATCCCCTCCCCTGCCACCAACACACGTGTGCACACACTAAGACAAGCACACATATTAATATACCTACATAAACATATGCATATACTTACTTAAACAAAGTTAATAATAAGAATCCTTGCATTTATATACAGTCCCACCCATTTCTGTCAAACTCAATTATGTTGAAATCCCACATATATTGACAACACAGGGAAGTTCTGGTTTCTTCTCTGCGTATCATTATGAAAAACATAGTGTCTGTCGACATGCAAATAAATTGCGTCACACTTACAGCCACAAACTCTTTGAGTCCCTGACAGTTTTCAAGACTTTTTTTTTAATCATGTTAACAGGCCCTTTTCCTCATGTGTGACATGTGAGTGAGTGTGACACATGTTAGGCTTCTAAATAAGATGTGTTGCATGTGCTGATCATAGTCTATAGTCTATTGTCAGGGTCTATACAATACTGAGGTTGGGTTAGGCACAGGAATAACATAGTGATAAGACGCTATACCAAATGCAAAGATTAGTATTATTATTATAAGCTCATGGGTAAAATAATAATAATCCTTGCATTTGATACAGAGCCTTATCACATCCTTGAGACGTCTCAAAGCGCTTCACAGGATACACTGTAAAGTGAATTGACTGTATGTTTTGTGGGCGAAACGCGGCAGCCAATTGCACACGGCAGCGTCCCACAGGCAGTCGTGGATTGAGTGAGCAAATGATTATTATTTAGAAGGGATTGTTACCCCTGGAAAAGTGATCCGCCAATCGATTAAAAGGCTGATATTTAACATTTGATGAAGAAACTGACTCAGAGATGGGAATAGGGTAAGATATGTTACTTTGGGAGCAGCCGGATGGACATGTGCAAGTACACAGCCATTGATTCAGGTGTCGTTGTATCTTTTTATTATATGGAATTCATAGAAAAGACATTCAAGGTTTTCATGAACGATTCAGTAGAACAAACATTAATTTTTGTTTAAGAATAATATCAACATTGAGGAATATCGAAGCGGCGGCTGTGTCTGTTTGGCACAGTTAGTAACATCCTGGAGGGAGCTGCGTTTCCAGAAGTGTCGTCGTCCTTCAGATAAGGACATTAAGCCGAGGTCTCATCTACTTGTTCAGCTGAACGTCAAAGGCTCTGTGATCTTTCCATTAAGAGAAGACAGTTTCTCTCCGTGTCCTGGTCAACGATTCTCCAGCTATTTACCAGCCGATGCCTGTGTGTGGGACCTTGATGTGCATGTAATGACTGCTGCGTTGCACACCTCAAAGTAAAGTGCTTTGAGACGTTTTGATAATGAGCCATAATGAGCTATAAACATTGCAAATCCACGTGATCCGGATTTCTCACCGACCAGGTCGGATGCCCAGTGAGGATCTTATGGTGTTGCTCGGGTTCAGCTGAAAAAACAAATAATTAATCCAGAGATTTTATTGATGTGACTGTGTATCAAAAGGGCATTTTACTTATCAGTTTACGAGTGTGTTTTATTTTACTGATATTTTACTGATAAACCTTGGGCAAGTTTCCTTACTCCACACGCCTAATAATAATCCCTCCAAAACTAAAAACAATAATTAAATTGGTCATTTTCAATCTACGACTGTTTGTGGGACATTGCTGTGCGCAATTGGCTGCCGCGTTCGCCCACAAATATACAGTCAATTCACTTTACAGTGTGTTCTGTGAAGCGCTTTGGGACGTCCTCCCGACGTGAAAAGCGCTATATCAAATGCAAGGATTATTATTATTATTATTATTATTATTATTATTTCTGAATTTCTCAGAAAAAGTACCAACCTCCGACTGCAGCTGTGTAAAACTTTTTATTTTAAGGATTAATAAGAAAGGATTATTGTTAACTAATTAACGACAAAAACACATAATCCTCACCGTGTCTTTTCTTTGAACAGTAAATGGCCGAAATCAGAGAAATAAGCAGGACGGCAAACAAGACCCAGCGTAGCCAGCTCCACAGGGTGTAACTGAGCAAAACCACAGAACAAAACAGTCAGTCTTAAAAGAGACAGTATCCGCGTGTGCCAAACACCATCATTTTCCTCCGTTCTGACTGTAACCTTAATGCAAGAACGATCAGATATTGGGCTTTGGCTGCGGATTAGACTTTTGCTGTTGACGTTTTAGAGAAAAGTCTAAATGCAAATTAGAGATCCGAAACTCAACATAACCGGGGTTTATGGACCAGCAATCGTCTAATCTGGAGGTCCTACTGTTGGGCTCAGGGATGTCTTCTGTAGGATATTGCTTGAAGGCGTGAGTGATAATCAGGAGAGAGACAATCAGAAGAAGACAGGATGTATAAAAGGACACTGAGAGTGCGACACACATGTGGGTTGGAGTTTTGTGAGTTGAGAATAACGTGTGAAGCTTTTGAAAAGTGATGTGTTTGAGGAAAGAGGATTGAGGCGCTCACTTTCTCCTGACGATTTTTAAGAGAATAATGGAGGAACCGTTGGGAAATATCCAGGGTGACATTTGTGTTCTGTGTGTTGGGCCCCGAGCCAATCGCCCCGACACGGTTCTCAGTCAAGGTTACAACAACAACAAGTTACATTTGTAAAGCGCTTTTCACGTTGGGAGGATGTCCCAAGGCACTGGATAGACAGTGATTTTTAACAACACACACACAAGATGGAGGGTCAGAAATTGTGACTGTGATGTGATAATCATCACTCGTCCATTCCTACCTGTGCTGTTGACCTTTAGTTGCCATGATGGTGGCTTGTGTGACCATGAAGGAGATGCGTGCAGCTGGAACATGTGCAGTTGGCATTGACTTGGTTGTGATCTTGGGACTGGAAAATTCAGTTCCTTTCAAGGGAAAGAACACAATTCAGATTTGCTCAACAACTGCTCAGGAGAAAGCTTTGATACCAAACTGCACGTCAGGCTTGAGTAAGAAACAACACTTTCTCTGTGATAGTCATGGTGCTGGTCAGCAGGGAGTGTCAGTACTGATGCACTCGCCATTGATTCTCTTAATTTATTGCCACACCATCTCCGGTCGGGCCTTCAGGCTCTCTGTCCCCACGGTTTGGATTTCCATCTGACAGTCCCTTCGCCTCACTCCCTCCCTTGAGTCTTTCAAGGCACGTCTCAAGACCCTCCTCTTCGATCACGCCTTTGGTCACCCTCCTACCCTCTTCCCTCCCTGCCCTCCACACTCCCTTATCCCAACCTTCAGCTCAACCTTCCCTGACTGTTCAGTGCCTTGGGACATCCTCCCTGTCATGGACTGGTTAGTGGTCACCCATTTAGTGCAGCGGACAAAATAGAGTGAGTTTCTTCAGTGCGGACAATTGCTCAGTTGATTCGCTATCTTCTGGGTAAAACCAGCAGCTATTTTGTGCACAGCAATGTCCCACAAGCAGCCGTGACATTTAATTGTATTTGGGGATTGTTGGCCAGGACACCAGGAGAGGTTCCCTGCTTTAAATTCAGTCAGTTCTCATATAGGCAAATAAATATACAGTAGGTGTATTGAGCAATTCCAGTGTCTTTATAAAGGACTTTCCATGAATGTTGATTGGTACTGAGCAATTGCAGGCTTCCTGTATTAGCTGTAAGACCGACTCTTCAACCATTTCACTGGATTCAGTTCCTTTGCTATTTGAGGCTGTGCAGTAGTATTGGGGACACTGGGAGGTGGAGGTACATTGTATGTCTAGTTTGTTGCTGTGAGAGATCTCTGAAGCTTCAGCCTCTGTCTGTCTGTACCATTTATACCGAATGGGAAGGGATCCACTGATGGACTCACAGGAGATGGAGACATGACCTCCTGAACATGAGTCAGTGAGTGCTGATACAAACCTAATTACAGGCACAGACACAGACTCTGTGGGGAAAGAAGCAATCAGTCACAGGCCGACAGATTCCAATTTCTGCATCCGATCCCTTTACAGGTCATCGTAGAAGAGAGAAGTCACTTTTCCTCGGAATCGGACTCGACTTATGAGCTGAATATGCGCCGAGTTTACACATTGTGTTAGTGAAGTGCATCAGTCACATTAAAGGGAATGGTTTAACGTACAGTCAGATGTGTGTAGCTTTCTGCAAAGGTTGTATTATCCTGGCTGGACTCACAGCTCACAGTTTTACACATTGAAATAAGAATCAACAGTCAGGTATCTTACCGTCAGATATGTGTACCTTTACAGCAACCATTGTATCTCTGCCAAACTGATCAATCCCACAGTTATACCATCCTGCATCTCTCATGGTGAGATTCTCCATAGTTACAGTAAATACCCCGTCTCTCTTATCTGTGATTGAGAATCTTCCTCGTTGTCCGTTGACGGCTTTTGTATCAATTACATCTTCACAACTGGAGAGATAATACCCGCGACACCAATATTTTGTGTGTCCCGAGTACTTCTGTTCATCATATCGACAGTTTATTCTGATCGCTCGTCCCACAACTCCTGTTACTTCAGCTTCTGCCCATAATAGGTCTGAAACCAGAGACAAAACGTCACGAATCAAACGAACCATAACCGCTCAACACAAACACATCCTTCGGTAAAAGATTCCCACTGTGTACAGACTGGTGCACCACTGCTCTTATCCATACACTGTGATTGGGGTTTAAGCATCGATCACTGAGGCTGGCGCTGATGTTATTGCTGTTTGTACTGTATCAGGTCTGGGAAAGAGGAACTGACCACCACACCCGAGGCTGATCTCTGGCGCCCCATCAAATTCTCTTTTCTTTTTCATCGTTTTCTGTTATTTAGTTTTCCCCAAAAAATATACACATTCAACCGACTTTACAGTGTATCCGGTGGAGCGCTTTGAGGCAGACGTCCCGATGACGTGATCAGGCGCTATACCGAACGCAAGGATTATTATAATCGTCGTTGGGAAAAATCTGTGAATTTCCCCCAAGGAGTTGAACAAATTCACACCATAAATACAGCGACCGTGGGTTACAGGCGTTAATTTGCTCTTTAGACAGTTTTGCAGAAATGAACAACAAATTTTTACATTTCTTCCTGTGTTACACAGGAACAGGAGGAGACCATTCAGTCCATCCGAGCCTGTTTCGCCCTTCTATTAGATCGTGGCTGATCTGTACCTCATCTCCAAAAACAAGGTTGATTTTATGACGATTTTTTGTTGTTCTCCCTTTTCAGTATTGTACATTAATTTTCATTGTATTTGGGACCGATCTCAAACTGGTCAAATCCTGAGAATGTTCAGTGATAGTAACAGCGCTCAGACCAAGGTTTGCAAAGCAACGTCTAACTTGTATTTTGTCAAAAAGACTTGAAACGTTCACAAGATGCACACCTCAGGCCGGAGATCAGAGTGTGTCCGTGAGTAACGGGAAGTCATGAAACTACCAGTTTTTTTCTTTACCGAAATCTCAATACTGTTCAGCAATTGTTGGAAAATTTTGAGAGAGAAAGAGAGGGAGAGATAGAGAGAGATAGGGAGAGAAAAGGAAACATTTTTAACAACAGCTTTCAAACTGGCAACCAGTTCAACCATCAGAACATCTGGCTGCTCAGCTCCGGGTGTCACTCACCTGCGAGAGAAGAGAAGAGAAGAATCAAGCTGATGTCCATCAGGAGCGAAGAGACCAACGTCTGTTGTGTGGCAGCTCTCAGCGCTTCCTACTGAGAAGGCAGCTTGTGGGTTAAAGCGAAGAGGAAGTCAAGCTCACGAAAGCGCTGTTTCTTTCTATCTTTGGGTTTTAAAAAACTAGAAAGAATAAACTTCCTTAAGAATTTGCAATGATCTGACGTAGATCACACAATGAGCAAGTGTCACCCAAGGATTGAGATAAAGTTTGATACCCTCCCCTGCCACCAACATACGTGTGCACATATTAAGACAAGCGCACACATTAATATCCACACATACACTGACATAAACATGTCCCCATTCTGACTCTTCTTCTCTGTTCAGCGTCAGGTAAGAACGGGGAATATTTAAACAGGGCAGCGTTTTAATGTACTGTAAAGTGAACTGACTGTATGTGCACAGCAGTGTCCCACATTGGATTGAGGGACCACATTTGTATTATTACTATAATTTTTCAGGGGATTATTACCCCTGCAAAAGCGCTCTAACCGCTGCACTACAGGCTGCCATTGTAGGGACCAACCACCACAACAACAACAACTTGCATTTGTAGAGCGCCCTTCACGCAGGGCAGTGTCTCGGAGCACTTGGTCCCTCAATGTTCGGTCCTCGTTTAATCAGAGGTCAAGAGGCAGAATCAGTCGGCTTCGAGCACCGAGGTTTCCAAATGTATTTACACTTCATACTGCATTTAGCAATTACAATCCGATACCTGATCCGCTGTCTCTTTAGTTTCAGACACATTACGGGCGACACAGTCAGTAACAGGAGTTGTGGGACGAGCGATCACAATAGACTGTCACTATCAGAAACAGTGGTACCGGAACAACAAGAAATATTGGTGTTGGGGATATTATCGCGACAGTTGTCAGGTTGTAATTGATACAAAAGCCAACAATGGACGAAGAGGAAGATTCTCAATCACAGATAACAGAGACGGGGTATTTACTGTAACTATGGAGAATCTCACCACGGGAGATGCAGGATGGTATAACTGTGGGATTGAGATTCCTGTCTTTGATCCAATGTTTGGTGTAGAGCTACACGTCTCTGAGGGTAAGCTATCTGAGCTACTGATTCTTATTTTAATGTGTAAAACTCTTATATGTGAGAGTAATCAGGAAGATCCAACGTCTACAATACAATAAGATATACAATTCCAGGCACAGGGCGAAACCTTGGGCAAGTTTCCTTACTCCACACAGAGCCTAATAATAATCCCTCCAAAAACAAAACAATAATAAATTGGTCATTTTCAATCTACGACTGTTTCTGGGACATTGCTGTGCGCAATTGGCTGCTGCATTCGCCCACAAATATACAGTCAATTCACTTTGCAGTGTATTCTGTGAAGCGCTTTGGGACGTCCTCCCTACGTGAAAAGCGCTATATCAAATGCAAGGATTATTATTATTATTATACAGTGTCTTTCACAGGGAGAGCACTAGTCAGTGTTGGTTGGGCACTCGAGCTGGGGGTGGGAGCCAAGGGGTGGGGGGAAGGTGACCAAAGAACGGTCAAAGAGGGTATGTTGTGAGACGTATGGTATGTTTTGCTGTAACGGTTGACAAGATGACAGTACTTTAGTTTCAGATATTTATTCTTATGAACATTTTGGGTTTAGATCGTGATGGCTTTAGCTGTATCTGGGAGTTGATTGAGGAATGGACACTGTGGGATTTTAGCAGAAATAAACTCGACTTGTCAGCGCAGGGAGGAAGTGAAGTTATTTTTATGAGCCTTGAAACTTTCCAACCGCACAGAAATGATTAATGGTCCCATTGCACCCACAGCGGGTGTTGTAGCACCTTCTGTGTCCCCACTCGCTCAGCTCTCTGAAGCAGAAGTAAAACACAAACTGATGGTGAAGTGCAACAGCCGGACCAGTGAGTGAGAGCTGCGGCTCCTGACATCAGCCCACATCCTGCCTAACATTCAGCTCAGTGTGAGGGGCCATGCAAGGTGATAGTCACAAGGCAAGGCCGGTGTGATAGTGTATCAGCTCTGTGTCCGTCTGGCTCAGTCGGTCGCACTCCTGCCTCTGAGTTATGAACAATGTGGGTTCAAGCCCCACATCAGGACTTGGAGCACAGTCGGGGCTGGTTGTCAAATGCGGAGCTGGGGGAACACTGCACTATCAGAGCCGCTGTCATTTGGATGAGATGTTAAACTGATGTCCCTTCTCCCTTACAGATGGTGCTATTAGAAAAGAGAAGGGAATTTCTCTTCTCGCACATGCAAGGATTATTATTCGTGTGTGTGGGGGGGGGGGAAGGAAGGCGGAGGGGAGGGACGAGAGTTTACAGATTGCATTAAATTAATGTTCTTAATGATTGAAGTATTTAAGGATAAATGTGACCCATCAGAATGAGCAACAGTGACCTTCACTTTCAGATATTCAGCTTTCTCAAGCCCAGGTGTAATAATAATAATAATCATTGCATTTGATACAGAGCCTCATCACGTCATTGAGACGTCTTAAAGCGCTTCACAGGATATACTGTAAAGCGAATTGACTGTATATTTTGTGGGCGAAATGCGGCAGCCTATTGCGCACAGCAGTGTCCCACAAACACTCGTGGATTAAATGGTCAAATTATTAATATTATTGGTGGAGTCTGCAATTTTGAATCCATCTGTTGCAGATAATAAATATAACGATCTTTCAGAGAGCCAGACTTTGCGTATCATCTAAACAATTGTTTCTTTCCCCACAGAGCCCGTGTCTGTGCCTGTACTGAGATTTTTATCAGCACCCACTGCCTCGTGTTCAGGAGGTTATGTCTCCATCTCCTGTGAGTCCATCAGTGGATCCCTTCCCATTCGGTATAAATGGATGAGAAAGTCGAAGGGTAGAACTTCAGAGATCTCTCACAGCAACAAACTAGACATACAATGTACCTCCACCTCCCAGTGTCCCCAATGCTACTGCGTAGCCTCAAATAGCAAAGGACAACAATCCAGTGAAACGGTTGCAGTCTCAGCCTTACAATCTGCGCAGACAGTCTGCAGTTACTCGGTACACATCGAAAGTGCTGGTACGGTTTACTCTCACTCGTACAGCATTGCTTTTCATTGCTCAGCGCCTGAACATTCAGACGTTCTGTACACATTCCGCATTGTTCACAGGATTCAAATTCCTTCGACTCGAAATAGATCTGAGACTGAACAATGAAAATTGGGGTTGAAGATTGCCTTATTCCCAAACAATAAACACTATTCCTTGCATTTGATATTACGTCTTATCACATCTTTGAGACGTCTCAAAGCGATTCAGAGAACATACAGAATATAGAGACTGTATATTTTGTGGGCGAAACACGGCAGCCAATTGCGCACAGCAATGTTATACAAACAGTCGTTTATTGAGTGACCAAATTATTATTGTTAAACAAGAAAACACAACACCAGCACCGCAGACAGGGACATGGAGCAGACCAGAGTTCACTGGGTCAATATTCAGGAACGGACTGAGTTTAGGAATAACATCAATTTGTCGCCCACCTTAGCAGCAAAACCACAATGATCTGTTCTCCTCTCAGCTTCAGTGATTTACAGACCTCTTAAACCCTGACCTTATTTTATTTTGCCATTCATTAAAGAAACACACAGAAAAGGCTACTGGCACTGTATCCAATACAAACAGTGTACAAACGACATATTTCTTCTCTGCGGCAATGTAACTCGAGGCTTTTTATTCTGTGTTTCAGGAAATCAGATTATTTGTGACCCACTCACAACGATACAGACCCCAATTACTGTGTACACAACAGCAGAGCCTTCAAGTGCAATGAGATTAACTGACAGAACTTCACAAGTCCCCAGTAACAGTCATCCTGAGTGGAGGTTTGGTGGAACATTTCTTGAAGCAAACGTGGGGTAAAAATTGCAACTTGTGATAATTAGCACATCACAGCTGCAATTTTCTGACACTCCATCTTGTGTGTGTGTGTGTGTTGGTGTGTGTGTCAGTGTCTATGTGTTACCTTGACTGAGAGTAGTGTTGTGTTTCATGGCTCAGGCCAAACACACATAACACAAATTTCTCGCTCTAAAGTTCCGCTGATATTCTCCCCCCCAAAAGAAAGCAAGAGACGCCTTTCTTGTTGTTGTTCTTCAGGGAAAAGCTGACGTACCTCTACATTGCTGTGGCTGCGCTGGTGCTGCTCATTGTGGGACTCGTTTCATCTTATTGTTTCTACAGAAAGATGACGAAAGTCGACGGTACGTTCAAAACTTTAATTTGCACCGATACGTGCGAGTGATCCCAGTGAAGCCCTTTCTCTCATCTTCCTCTCCACAATCCTCAACTGTTCTAAACACAAGAAATGTCTGTTGGCCTGGCGCAGGGGGTAGCACTCTCCCTCGCCTCTGAGTCGGAAGGTTGTGGGTTCAAGCCCCGTGTCAGGACTTTGAATCACACAGTCTAAAATGATGCTCCAAGGCAGCGCTGGGGCGGGGGGTGTTGCATCGTCAGAGGCGCCATCTTTCAGATGAGACGTTAAACTGAGGTCCTGTCTGCCTGATCAGGTGGATGTTAAAGTTCCAGCGGCACTATTCTCTCTCCCAGTGTCCTGGCCAACAATCCCCCAGATTGGGGGAGCCAGGGGGAGGGGAAGGTGACCAAAGGCCTTCAGCCGAGACCTGAACATAGGAAGAGAGGGGAGCGAGGGGAAGGGAGTGAGGAAGGGAGTTCCAGAGCCTCGGGGCGCAGTGGCTGAAGGTACGGCCATCGAGGATGGAGCGGAGGACTCGGGGGACGAGGAGGAGGCCAGACTCGGAGGAACGAAGGCAACGGGCACTGTTTTGAGGAGAGAGGAGATCAGAGAGGTCGGGGGGTGCAGAGGATATACGGTATCTGACAGAATATTAAATTCTTCCACCTTTGGTATTTCCAGGTAAAGAGAGGACAGACTCACAGGATCAAGAAAACGACATTGAAGCTGTTCAGGTGAGAATGTTAAAGTAAATACTAATTAAAGGTAACCTCAACTTATTTTTTGCACGTC